TGCGAATTAACCACGTTGAGCGGAATTTAATAAATTAACACACAGAGTCATAGAAAGATATTTGTTGTAATTATATTGCAATCTATGTCTAAAGGCTTCCTGGAGGAATTGAACTCCTTCGCATGTAGTGTTTTAAGTGTATTGTAATTAAAGCATTTTAAAACATGCAGTCGAGTTGACAAGATATAGAAAACTGGTGGATGCGCCGGGAAACCCTAGATTAACCAACTTTCGCCTCGTTTTCGCGAAACAAAGCCCCCACTAACTGAAAAATCTTTTAAACTTCGTCGTTTGTCGACTTAATTAGCAGCCTGTATTATTAACAGGATTTCGTGCGGTTATGAAAGATTCAGTCCATTCGCGATGCAGAATCTGCGCGAACACTGTCGGCGGCTAACGAGGGAAATCTAGCAGTTCAGAAGTGGGATTGCTTATAAATAAATCAGTCTTCTTGATTATACACCCGGATGCGCAGTGCAGGCCTACAATAAAAACCCACCGCCGATGCTCCGACTAAGTAGTCGAGCTCACAATCGGGCGCATTAGTAAAACGAGCCGCTTCCTCGTCACGAATCGACGGCAAATATCATACTCGAGTATGAAAACAAACGTGAGTTCGCCCACTAGACCTCTTTCTTCTAATGGCGGACTTATTGACTTTGGAAGGTCTTCTTCGCATGTCCGCCTTCTTAGTTGTCCATTCCGGGACTGAACCGTAATTCGATTTGTTGTCGGCCGCGTCAGATGGATTGGAAAGACAACATCGTCCGACTCGAGGCACTCTTTGATCCGTGCTTTCTAATGTACCGTGTGTTGTTTTATGTAAGGCGCCAAATTAAATTTGGGATACACAAGAGAACGGAGTTTTTCACTGGAAGGACGTACGCGGCTTCAATACTACATTCGCACCGGTGTGGATTATTTAAAGAGGAAGGGAGTGGTGGTTGCGCGATACTTGCCACCGGAGGTTCGAAAACACGGAAGATAAAGAATATTTAATTTTTTTACGCACTTGCCCGTGTGTGTAATGCTTAAATAAAGGAAAAGGTTGCCGGAAGATTGCTAACCGCACAGATAACAATCTTTATTTATGTATAAAACGTTTTACTACGAACGGATTTAGCTAAATTGCTGAATTTGTGAAAATTATATACAATTATTTGTAATTATTTCAAATTATATGGAATTTCGTTGGAAAACATATTACTGGGCAAAAATATGGCATCACTTAACTTTTTGAAATATTATACGATAAAAATAACTTCCACTGGTAACAATACATAATTTAGTTATTATTTGTTCTTGTTTTTTTTGCTTTTTTTGCTAAGAAACCATTATAAAGTAAAACAGTTAGCAACTATTGGTCGCGAAACACCCGCAGATTATGTTTATGAACTCATTTTGTCTTGAACTCTTGTTCTCAATAGCTCCAAATCCTCACTGCTCTGATCTAGTCCGCTTGGTGCTAACTTACCTGAGAAGAAAATGGTGTGTTACCAACCGAATTTTGACATTGCTGAGTTACTTAAACTTATAAATTTTAGATTCTTAACTAAACTGTCCCATACAAAGCTTACATTTAAGTAACTAAAGGTAAAACTGAAATTTTATGAAAATTTGACATTTCTTTCACTTCCATGGGCACCTTAAACACATTTAAAAATTTAATTTTAGCATATTTTTGTTAAATTTACTTGTACCAGTAATAGCAATGTCGATGAATATGATTTAAAGTGCTCTCTTAAAATCATGTAAAATAGTCAGATTTAAAATTTTTCAACTCCACAGTATATAAAAATAGAGTCTCTCATTTTGGAAAAACTTTGAGTATTTTGACTTATTTACACTGAGTGATTTTGTCATTTCATTAAAATTGGACATCCTGTATTTTATGACATTCTTGTGATTGTCTCGCTCAAAGTTTTCTTTTCAACATATTTTTATTAAAATTTATATTAACTCTCTTCTCACTGTTCTTTTTGGTCTCTCTGTTCTCTCCTTTCTCTCGATTCCCTCGGTTCCCTCTGTTTTCTCTGTCCCTCGTTTCGCTATGTTCTCTCTGTTGTTTCGATTTTATTGATTCTTTCTTTTAACGCGTTTCCCTCGGTTTTTGTTATACTCTTCTTTTTCTCGATTCAGACTCTTTTCTCTGATATTTCTGTCGTTTCGGTTTTCTCGATTTTCTCGGTTCTCCTGTTTTTTTTTCCAATTTGCTCTCTTTTCTCTGTTCTTCTTCTCTCGATTTTCCCTATTCACTTTCTCCTCTCTGTTATTTCTGTTCTCTGTTTTCTCTATTTACTAGATTTTCTTCTCGTTTCTCTCTGATCTCCCTATTCCCTCAATTGTTTCGATTTTCTATGTTCTCTTACTCCCCTCCTTTCCATCGGTCCCCTTTGTTCTCTCGTTTTACTTGATTGAGTTTCTTCTCTCTTTTATTTCTGTTCTTTCTGTTCTCCCGATATTGTCGTTTTCTCGTTTTTCTATGTTCCACCCGTTCTCTCGTTTTTCTTGATTTCCTCTGTTCTCGTTGTTCTTACATTTTTCTCGATTCAATTTTTTCACTGTTCTCCATTTTTCCCGATTTTCTCAGTTCTCTCCTATCTCGCTGTTCTATCTTTTATCCCGATTTTCTTAATTCTCTCGTCTCCAGTTTCTCCCATCTTCTCTGTTTTCTTTTTTCTTTCTGTTCTATCTGTTTTCCCGATTTTCTCGGTTTTATGGTTTCTTGAGGAACTGAAAGAACAGAGGTCTCATTTCTCTCCGTTTTCTTTGTTCTCTCAATTTTCTCGTTCTCCCATTTCTCTCTGTTCACTTTATTCTCGCTGTTTATTCTGTCCCTTCTGCTCTTTCTAGTTTTTCTAATATTTTCTGTTCTCTCATTTCTCTCGTTTCCCTCTGTTCTCGTTGTTCTTCCATTTTTCTCGATTCAGTCTCTTCACTGTTCTTTTTGTTCTCTATTTTTCCCGGTTTTCGCAGTTCTCTCCTATTTTGCTGTTCTTTCTTTTCTCCCGATTTTCTAGATTCTCTCTTCTCCAGTTTCTCCCGTCTCCTCTGTTTTCTTTGCTCTCAGATTTTTCTCGATTCGCTCTTTTCTCTCTATTATTTCTGTCCCCTCTGTTTTCTCTGTTCTCTCGATTTTCTCGGTACTTTCTATTCTCTTGGTTGTCTCTATTTTCTACATTCGTTTTGTTCTTTCATTTTTCTCGTTTTTTCGGTTCTCTTTATCCTCTAATTTTTCGATTCAGTCTCTTCTCTCTGTTGTTTCTGTTCTCTGTGTTTTCCCAATTTTCTCGGTTCTCTAGTTTCTTGAGAAATTGAGAGAACAGAGGTCTCAGTTCCCTCAACTTTTCGGATTCTCTGTGTTCTCCAGTTTCTCTTGTTTCCTTTAGTTCTCACGTTTTTCTCGATTCTCCAGTCTTTCTGTCCTCTCCGTTTTCTTTGTTCTCTGGATTTTGTCGTTGTTCCATTTCTCTCTGTTTCCGCTGTTCACTTTATTCTCGTTGTTTATTCTGTCCCCTTTGTTCTTGTTAGTTTTTTTAATTCTTTCTGTTCTCTCATTTCTCTCGTTTCCCTCTGTTCTTGTTCTTACGTTTTTTCGATTCAGTCTTGTCATTGTTCTTTTTGTTCTGTTTTCCCGATTATCTCGGTTTTCTCCTATCTCGCTGTTCTCTAGATTTTCTTGATTTTCTCTACCCCGATTTCTCCCATTTCCTTGGTTTTCTTTTTCTCACGTTTTTCTCGATTCGCCCTCTTCTGTCTGTTCCCTTTGTTTTCTCTGTTTCCTCGTTTTTCTCATTACTTTTTGGTCTCTCTGTTCTCTCTATTCTTTCTGTCCCTTCAGTTTTTCTCTTCTCTGTATTTTCTAAGCACCCATTTCTGTCTGTTTTTCTGTTCTCCTCTTTCTCTCTATTTTCGGTGTTTATTCTATCCTCTCTGTTCTTTTTAGATTTTCTCTCTAGTGTTCTCTTCATTACCATTCTTCATTTTGTTCCTTCATTGCTTCTGCTTTCTCTCCTCTGTCTGTCCTCTCTTCCCTCGCGGTTATCTTTGGTATCTCTGCTACGTCGGATCTCTTTGTTCTCTCGTTTATCTCAATTTGCTTTTTTCTCTATATTCTTTCTGTTCTCTTTGTTACCTCTGATATCTATATTTTCTCAGTTGCCTCGTTTCCCTGTCTTCTTTCTGTACTATTCTTTCTTCCTATTCTCTCTTTTTGTCTATCCTTTATCTCTTTTTGTTCTTCCTATTTTTAATGCTATTGGTGACTATCTGTAGCTCTCTTCTATATCTTTCCTCCAGTTTCTCTGTTCATTTTTTTCCTCTGTTCTATCCACTATTATCGCTACTTATTCTGTTTTATTTGTTCTCACGAATATCTTATATCATTTTTTCCTTTCAGTACTCTCATTCCTCGCTTTGTCTCGATTCGTTCTTTTCTCTCTGTTTTCTTTGTTGTCTCGTTTCTTTGTGTTCTCTCAGCTCTCTCCTTTCTCCCTATTCTCACTATATTCTCTATCCTTTCTGTTCTTTCTGGTTTTTCTTTTCTCTCTGTTCCTCTTGTTCCCCTTATTCCTTCTGTTCTATCCATTAACACTATTTTTGTTCCCACTATTCTCGATTCTCTCAGTTTTCTTGATTCTTTTGAACCGTCTGTTCAACTGTTCTTTCTGAGATCTCTGTTGTCTCCATTGGTACTGTTCTTCTGTTTTCTCTATCCCTCGTTTGTCTATGTTGTCTCTGTTATCTCGATTTTCCTGATTCCCTCTGTTCTCTCGTTTTCTGGGTACTCTTTGTTCTCTTCCTTTTCTCGGTTCAGTCTTTTACTTTTGTTATTTCTGTCCTCTCTGTTTTCCCGACTCTCGATTCTCTGGTTTCTCGCTGGTACCTCTGTTCTCTTGTTTTTCCCATTTCATCGGTTCCCTTTGTTCTCCTGTTTTCCTCGATTCGCTCTCATTTTTCTGTTCTCTCTGTTATTTCTGTTCTCTGTTTGCTCTATTCTCTCAGTTTTCCTCTTCTTTCTCTCTTGTCTCCCTGTTCCTTTGATTATTTCGATTTTCTATGTTCCCTTTGTTCTCTCGTCTTACTCGATTGACTCTCTTCTCTCTTTTATTTCTGTTCTCTCTGTTTTCTCTACTCTCCCGATTTTCTCGGTTTCCTCGTTTCTCTATGTTCCCCATGTTTTCTCGTGTCTCTTGCTTCTTTGTTCTCCCATTTCTCTCGTTTCCTTCTGTTCTAGTTCTTTCATTTTTTTTTGAGTCAGTCTTGTCTCTGTTCTCTTTCCCAATTTCCTCGGTTCTCTCTTTCGCGCTGTTCTCTGTGTTCTCTCGATTTTCTTGATTCTTTCCTCTCCGATTTTTCCGTTTCTTCGATTTTCTTTGTTTTCTCTGATGTCTGTGTTTTCCTAGTCCTCTTGCGACCCTATGTTCTCTCTGGTTTTTTTATTCTCTCCGTTTCCCATATTCCCTCTATTTCTTCTGTTCTCCTCATTTTCTCTGCTCTCTCTTCCATCTGTTCTCACTCTCTCCTTTTTCTTCTTTCAATGCTCTCTATATTCTATCTGTTCTTTATCGTATATAGCTTTTCTCCGGTTTCTCTGTTCATTCTGTTTCTCTGTTCTATCCATTATTATCACTATTCTCTCTGTTTTCTCTGTTCCGTCGTTTCTCTGTGTTCCCTCAGCTCTGTCATTTCTCCTTATTCTCGTATTTTCCTTATCCCCTCTGTTTTCTCTTGTTTTTCTGTTCTCTGTTCTTCTTGTTCCCCATATTTCTTCTGTTCTCTCTCTTCTATATCTCTTATGCCTTTATCACTATTCTCTCTATGTTTTCTCTATTCTCGCGATTATGAATGTGAATTTTTAAACTTGACTAATTTTTATTGATCAAAAACCCTTACGTGGACGTCATTTTTTCCTATTTTGAATGATTGTCTTTTGTTCTTGGCTAATATTGTCTGTGTTCAGTGGACAGACAAATGATTAAATTTGAAGTTATATGATGTTAAGAGTTAATTAAAAATGAACTTATTTGTCGGGGTTGCTAAGGTTATAAAGTTTGAAATATGAAAATTCAACAAAAAACATTTTGTTTAATTATGTGCAAATTATAAATTTAGTTCTCAACGAACTTCAACTAGATTTTAGTGCCTGATATTAGATTAAAAATCTGACAAATGTAATTTATTCTTATTTCATTAGCAAGTCTGAAACGGATCTGATACCGAGTTGCATTTTTTCGCACCGGAAGCTCATTATCCTCCATCCTGGTCACGGTAGCCACTCGTCGAGGTAGCAGTGATTCCCCGGCGACCCAAAATTCGGTTCCCTCAGCACTTGGCCATATTCTTGTTAATTAAGAAACCCCTGTCCGCAGCCCCAATTACCGCTAATCGCGCCTTTTACATTCCAAATCCAATCGTCCCGGAAGTCGTGAACAGCGCCGTCCTAAATCTTTCATAACCACACCAAAACCCTATTAATAAAACAACGCACTAATTAACTCCGACAAAGAAGTCGAAAACTTGTCTTTATTAGCTCGTCCCAGTGTGTTTTATTACGGGGCGCTCGCTCGCAGCTATTTATTTTTCATTTTAGCCGCTAATATTTTCACATCGTCGTAAATTTACTTAAAACGTGTTCGCTCGGGCCAGAATCTGATAAAACATACCCACCCGGAATAACCTTCAATGCCCGATCTTATTACAGATAACAACAATAAAAAAATTAAGCTCTGGTGGGATATTTACTAATTAGAAATGGAGAAACGCAACCCGATACACGAAATTATTATATTTAGCTTTTAAAACTCACGAAGCGAATTACGGATAAAAATTCCATCGATCTTGCGGGGGTTCGGGAATTAATTTCAGCTAAATAGCTCCGGGTTGTTGTCGCATTCGGAGCCGTGCATAATGCAAAAGTTGATGGATAATCGAAACGGAAGCGAAGACAAAACAGTATAATAATAAACAGATCGACGATAGAGAGGAAACTTTCGTCCTGTGGGAAATAAATGATTCCAGACTGACAGGAACGCACATAAAGTAAACAGTAACGTGTATAGTTTTAAAACACGGCCAAGAATACACGCGAAAAAGAAAAACCGTGCGCTTTCGCTTCGGGAAAATAAACAGCAAACGCTGATGAATAGTAAATACATGAGCACTCAACAATAACAAACACATTACTCGCTCTAGTAAATAAACTTATAACTTTAATCCACTAATGGCGTAATTCGGCGTTCGTGTTGACTTTTTCAAAATCGCTTTATTTTTATCCGTAATAAGCCAATCAACCTGACAAAGTAAAATAAATATTGATTTACCCCTCCGGTGTGAAATTCAACGTTTTTTAAAAGCTGTGACAATGTAAGCCTGGATTTACGACAAAAAACTATTTGTTATTCATTGCTAGGTGTATATCGATTTTATCGAGTGCAAAAAATTACGTGTGTTTTGTTCGACACCAGAATGGAACAATGGAGTAACATATGCATTCATTGAACCACAAAATTAAAACGTGATAGAACTCTGAATTAGTGCTTTAGACTGGACGAGGAATATCGCACTTGAAGCGATTATTTTGTTATTTTTTACCGCAACTACTTTTCATGCAAATTGAAGTTTATTATGTGCCCGACATTGCAAAATTAAAAGTAAACAGGGCACGGATTGCAAGTGCCGTTAAGAAAACCCATCCGAGAGGCTTTAAATTCCAACATCGTTCCAGATATCGTTTTTTAAAAAACAAAATTGTTAAAACATAACGCATTGGACGGAATAAATGGCACACAGGTGAGCATTTGTTGTGGCATAAATAAAGCTTAGTAAAATGTATGTTGTGTTACATAGGTATAAGTCCCATGATTAACAACAAATATATTAAATTTACTGCGTCACGTAACGCACTAATTACACAGTTCTAGTAAATCCCATTAGTGAACCATGACGTTACCATAACAACACGCCTATGAAGTTTAGCGAAGTTAGTCATTTTGTTTACGTTTTATTATTTCATTATTTAAACTATATACAAGCCCGGACTAGAAAACCCCAAGAACTAAACTTTTATTTTTACGATATGCCAGAGATAATAATCGAAATATAAAAAGAAATGTACAATTTGAATGTTTGAGAAAGATTAATGACCCCAAAATATCAATAACCCGTAATGATAATGCATTAATATCAAATGTCGGATACCATTTCGTATGAAGGTCATGTTTACGTCATTTCTACTTAGAATAATATTGAGTCGTTTATCTATGTTCGTGCAACTAAGGTAATTTACCAAACTGAAAATAGCGAAAATATTAAAAAAGTCGTTCGGCTGTAATTGGCTTAAAGTAATCAGGATTGTAATAAGTAAAATCCAGAGCGTCTTTGTCCTATATTTTGTGCATTTTTAGGAATTACCAAAATTTGTTTATATAAGGAAACGTGGGTTAAACCGACCCAGTCAATTTTTTAGTTTCAGAATCGGCTTTAAAATTTTAATGTTTTCAGGCTTCCGAAAAATGAATAGGTGGTTTTTAAAAAAAATGCACACCTTAATTTGCCTCTTCTAGGGTTTAATTTTTTTAACAATGTAAAAGTTGGCAAAATAATCGCAATAAAATTATTTTTAAACCCTATGCTGTAGATATTTGGTTGTACAATCAATAACACTGAAGCTTCATGTACATATTGTTTTCCAAAATATTGGTTTTTTCAAACAACACGCTGTATTTTATTGCTCTTAAACCCAATCCAACAATCCAGTTTTTTCGAAAAATTGTAAAACGTGATTTTGTAAAATTTTATAATTTCATTATAATCCCTACAAGTAAAAAAAATGTTCTAAGGTGAATACAGTCGAAAAAATTTTTCTTGCCACATAGAGTCGAGTTTTGTATTTTTTGAAAATTTTTGCAAATTGTTTTTCCGTTTTTCCCGCAGAACACTAATAAAACACCGTTCTGATTCGACAACCTGTTTTAAACTTTTTTCAAAAATTTTTGAAAATTATTTTCCCCTTGAAAAGTTAACTTGAGATTCGAATTGGGAGAGAATTCTCTTTAATATAGTCCTATTTCAATTTTTTTGGAAAATTTAGTTATTTCAAAAACTATGGTAAGGATGTCAGATTAACAGTTTTGGAAAAATCCATATAGCGATCGATGAAAACGCGTTTTACACTTTTTTGGAAAATATTTCCAAATGTTTTTCAACATTTTTCTGACTTATTTGAAGAGCTATGGCAAAATTGTCTTCAGATTTGTAATCAACGAAGAATCTTCTTTAACAGAATTCTATCTTCTTTTCGAATAGAGCTGAGTTCAGTTTTTTTTTGTAAAATTTTTGGAACTTGTTCTCCGTTTTCCTCGATTATTTCAAAAGCTATGGCAGACAGGATTTCAGAATCATAATTGGCAGAAAACTCTAAAAGAACACCGTTCTGATTCTACAACTTGTTTAAACTTAGGTATTTTGGAAAATTTTTGAAAATTATTTTCCCGTTTTCTCGTTTATTTTAAGACCTATTGCAAATATAACTTAGGGTTGGTAAATGGAAGAGGATTCTCTTTAATATAACGATTTTTTTGGAAAATTTTTAGAAACCATTTTCCCGTTTTTTTAGTTATTTGAACAACTATATTAAGAATGTCAGATTAACAATTTTTGGCAAATCCATAAAGCGATCAATAAAAGCCCGTTTTACCAGTTCTTTGGAAAATTGTTTCAAAAATTTTTCAACATTTTTCTGAGTTATTTGAACAACTATGGCAAAATTGCCTTCAAATTTACAATTAACGAAGAATTTTCTTTAACAAAGTTCTATTGTCGAATAGAGCTCAGTTTAGGTTTTTTTTGTAAAATTTTTGGAAATTGTTTTCCGTTTTTCTCGATTGTTTCAAAAGCTATGGCAGACAGGATTTCAGACTCGTAGTTGGCAGAAAACTCTAAAAGAAGACCGTTCTGATTCGACAACCTGTTTAAACTTATTTTGGAAAATTTTTTAAAATTATTTTCCCGTTTTCTCATTTATTTGAAGAGCTATTGCGAACATAACTTAGGATTGGTAATTCGAAAACAATTCTCTTTAATATAGTCGTGATTTCATGCGACAACAGCTCTTTTAACGATTTTTTTGGAAAATTTTTGGAAATTGTTTTTTCGTTTCCTTAGTTATTTGAACTGTGGTAAAGATATCAGATTAACAGTTTTCGAAAAATCCATAAAGCGATCAATAAAAGCCCATTTTACCATTTTTTTGAAACATTTTCCCGAATGTAATTTTTCAAAATTTTCCTCAGTTATTTGAACATCTGTGGCAAAATTGCCTTCAGATTTATGTTCAACGAAGGATTTTTCTTTAACAGAGTTCTATTTTCTTTTCGAATAGAGAGGAGTTTTGTTTTTTTTGTAAAATTTTTGGAAATTATTGCCCATTTTTTTTAGCTTGTTTCAAAAGCTACGACAAAAGCGATTTCAGATTCTTAATATGTAGCGAACTGTCTAAAAGAACGCCCATTCTGATTCGAAAAGACCCTGTTCTAAAATTCTTTTGGAAACTTTTTAGACATATTTTTATTTATTTTAAGAGCTATTGCATACACAACTTGAAATTCCAATTGAGAAAGAATTCTCTTTAAGATAGTGTCCTGATTTTGATGCGACAATGTTTTAACGATTTTTTTTTGGAAAAATTTTGAAAATTATCTTCGAGATTTCTTAGTTATTGGAATAGCTATGCCAGGAACGTCAAATTCCCAATTTTCAAAAAAATCAAAAAACAATTGATAAAAGCCCGTTTCACCATTTTTTTTTTTTTGAAAATCTTTGCAAAATGTTTTTCGACAATTTTGTCAGTTACTTGAACAGCTATGGCAAAATTAACAGAAGGTTTTTAATCTACGAGAAATTTTCTTTAACGAACCCCCATTTTCTTCTCAAATAGAGCTGAGGTATATTTTTTATTTGTAAAATTTTTGGGAATTATTTTCTACTTTTCTCGACTAATTCAAAAGCTAAAGCAAAAACGATTTCAAATTCTTAATATGCAGAGAACTTTCTAAAACGAAACCTCTCTGATGAAATAATTTCCCCATTTATTTTAAGAGCTATTGCAAACACATCTTGAAATTCGAATTGAAAAAAAAAATCTCTTTAAGATAGTCCTGATTTTGAAGCGACAACAGCTGTTTTTAAGTTAAGGACGTCAGATTCGCAATTTTCAAAAAAATCAAAACGAATTGAGAAAAACCCGTGTTACCATTTTTTTGGAAAATTTTTGCTAAATATTTTTCAACGTTTTTGTCAGTTAAAATTTGACTTCAGATTTTTTATCTACAAGGAATTTCCTTTCAACGATTTTTTTGGAAAATTTTTGGAAACTGCTTTCCCGTTTTCTTGGTTATTTGAAAAACTAGACCAGAGACGTCAAATTCGCGATTTTGGAAAAATTCATAAAGCAACTGATAAAACCTCGTTTTACGATTTTTTTTTTGGAAAATTTTTGCAAAATGTTTTTCCATTTTCTTAGTTACTTGAAGAGCTATGACGAAGACGTCAGATTCGCGATTTCCCAAAAATCATTAAAACGATTTATAACAGTCCGCTCTACGATTTTTTTGGAAAATTTTTGCAAAACGTTTTTCAAAATTTTTCACAGTCATTTGCTAAGGCAAGACGATTTCAGATTCGTAATTGCAGGAAAATCTCTAAATGAAAACCATTCCGATTTGACGAAAGATCCTGTTCTAAAATTTTTTTGGGATTCGTAATTGGGAGAGAATTCTCTTTAATATAGTCCTGTTTTGATGCGACAACAGCTTTTTAATGATTTCTTTGGAAAATTTTGGAAACAATTTTTCTGTATTCTTAGTTATTTGAAGAGCTTTGGTAAGGATGTCAGATTTGCAATTTTCGAAAAATCCCTAAACCGATCGTTAAAAGCCCTTTACCATTTTTTTGGAAATTTTTTGCAAAATATTTTTCAACATTTTTCAGTTATTTACACAGTTATGACAAAAGTGACATCAGATTTTTAACCTACAAGAAATTTCCTTTAACAAAGCTTTTTTTCGATTCGAATAGGGTTTAATTTTTTTATAAAATACTTGGAAATTGTTTTCCGATTTCCGCAATTATTTCAAAAGCTAAGGAAAAAACTATTTCAAATTCTTAATATGCCCAGAACTATAAAAAAAGACCCTTCTGATTCGAAAAGATCCTATTCTAAAATTTTTTTGGAAAATTTTTGGACATTGTTTTCTCGTTTATTTTAAGAACATTACAAACATAACTTGAGATTCGAATTGAGAGAAAATTCTCTTTGAGATAACCCTCGTGTTGATGCACCAACAGATGTTTCAACGATTTTTTTTTTTAATTTTTGGAAACTATTTTCCCGTTTCCTGTTATTAAAAAACTATTCCAAGGACATCAAATTCGCAATTTTGGAAAAATCCATAAAGCAATTGATAAAAGCCCATGTTGTCAGATTTTTAATCTACGAAGCATTTTCTTGAACAGAATTCCTTTTTTCTTTTAAATAGTGCTAAGGTCAGTAAATTTTCGTAAAATTTTTGGAAATTATTTCCGTTTTTCTCGATTATTTCAAAAACTAAGGCAAAACCAATTTCAAATTCGAAATATGCAGAGAACTCTCTAAAAGTAGTTAGTTATTTGAAGAGCTATAGCAATGTACGAAAAACCCGTAAAGCAATGATTGGACAACTTTTGTTTAGCGGTTTACCACCACACCAAGTCCTTAACATATGTACATATAAAAATTGAGAACAGTCGATCCAGTAGTTTCGGAGATTATATGTCTAATAAAATTTGACACAGACGACAGACAGACGGAAACGGGAGACCTACTTTTTCATATTCTAGGGGCCATAAAACGTCGAGAAAACCTGAAAGCAGCGATTCATTGGATGGATCCTATTTACAAAACACCTTACGCTCAGGGAGTAAAAAAACATTCCATAAGAATGGGATTCGAACCAACACAGGCAGAAAACTCTGTATTGTAATTGTAATAAAATCAAGGCAGATACATAAACCACCAGTACAGGCGTATATTATTTCATAAAATTTATATAACCTTAACCACACAAAATGATGAGGAGACGAACTTGTTGATGGAAATATAACTCTTGCCGTTGACTTTTCTGTGTTAATAATTAATTAGAAATCGAACACTTTACGATTATTAAGTCAACCTGTATATATAAATATATATTTTTATTACAAATATGTACAAATACAAATGGTTTTAGCTCGTCAGTTATATGTCATATATAAAAAAGAGTACAGGAACAAATATAAAAATACAAAAAATAAATTAAAATAGATAATGAATGAAAATATTGTAATGTTGTATAGTTAAAAAATATTGCTAAATTAAATAATGGAAAGTAAAATAAATAACCTGAAAAACTTAAACTTCTTATGCATCCTTTCCTTTTCAATAATCCAAAATATGTGACTATAACTCCCACTATTCTGAACATTGACCAAACATAAGAAAGTTAAAAAAAAACTTTCACTTCACTTTTAAAAAAATATTTAAATTTTTTTCCAAAAATAGGCAAACCTAGCAATCTATAAAAATTAAGGATAAGATACCAAATTTATTGAAAAACGATTCCAAGGTATACTATGTTATTTCATTAAAATGACGTCCAGAAGCACAGTAAAAACGCTTTTTAATTTAATTTCTTTCCATCAGTGTATTATTTTTTTATTTATGTTAATTAAACTAGAAAACAAACCGTTAAATTTACCCAAACACCAACACTGTGTAGCTACAACTCACAAAGGTCAAATGTCATACCCGATACGAAGGTCAAACTTAAATCTCTACAGTCAGTGTACTTAAATCGTTATCTGCTCTCGAGCCGCCAAGGTAATTTACCACTCAGTACGTAAAACCCGAGACGCGTGAATTTATCCATAACACCTAGTACAGAAACAATTTTTGCAATGGGATTTACAAAAACTCCTTCTATAAAACCAAACGCAAAACCACCCAAAATCAGTCACCCAGAACCCACCAAACCAACTCAACCAAGATGCAAAAGCTCATTATCCTTTTCGCTGCAACCTTGGCATTGGTGTCTGCCGCACCAGGAAAACCTAACGAGAAACCGTGAGTATCAAACTAGTTTCCACTATTTCCAGTTTTTAAATTAAAATTGTTGTTACAGTAACGACATCAAATGGGACGTTAGTTCCCCTGGAGTTCTCGATCTAAAAACCAAAGGCGTCTTTTACGACGACGGCGCTTCGCGCCTCGCTGGAAGCGCGATGTATTCCAAGAACTTCGTCGACCGTACCCAGAAAGTGGTGGGAGATTTACAGTACCAACACCATCCTTCTAATTTGGCCGCTGGATTGAACGTCGAAGATAGAGGGAGAGCAGGGACCAGGGTCCAAGCGGAACTGTCGAAGACTCTTCTAAAGGACCGCTTCACCAACATCCAGGGCGGACTGAACTACGGACAAACCTTCAACACACCCATCGGAAACAGCGAGCCGTTCTTCGGAGGTTTCGTCCGAGGGACATTTTAGTTGAAATATATAGTTTTGATATTTGTACATAGAATTGACTATTTATCAATTATTTATTAATGTTTTTTTTATGTATGATAAATTAGACAGTCGTTATTTAGTATTGTGTTTTATATTTTCTCGTAGGATTCACTGAATCAGTTCGTCCAAAATCGTCCCTGCGTGTCCTCTTGATCCAATCACAGGCCATAAATCAATAAATCGAAACCGGGGCAGCTACGAGTGTTGATGAAATTAAAATATTTGTTGTTTTAATTTTGCTGCTAATTGCTTAGTGTTGTCATTCAGCCGCGTTCCGATAAATTCAATAAACCGCTGCATTATTGCGAGCGCAATTTTCGTCAAATAACTGTCACATAGATTTTTGTTTTTATCGAAATTGCCAATAAATCGTTTAGGACGTGAATGCGTTGTTGTACAGGGATGTACTGCGGCGTCCACCGCCCATTTGAAACTATCCTGATGTAATAACGTGATTATCTCGAGGTCTCGGGAATAAATAAATTGCGAATTTGTGCAAATTACATTCGTTGCCTGCGAATAATTGAATTAAATTGAGGCGTAAAAATGATTATTCACCGAAATTAACTTCGGCCATGCCTGTGTTTATATTATAAAGTCCGTAATTTGAACGCAAAATACGGCGGTCGCTTCAAGTAAACACGTACAACGATAACAGTACACTTAATTAAATAAATTCGTTCCCAGACACGGTTAAATTCAATATTTGTGCAAGAATACCCTCGTGAAATTATTGCCAGGGTACTGAGATGTACGTACTTGCGGTGTACACATCATAAATAACGCCAAAAATGGAACAGCCGTGTGGATTTAAATTATAACAATGTTAATCAAACTTTCTATGTACATTTACTTGGAGATACAGTTTTTTATGCACAGGGTAAGCCAATAAAACATGGCAAATTAGTACTGACGCGGCTAAAACACTGCAAAAACATTTGTTCATATTTAAACCTTTAAACACAAATGATAACTCAAATGTCGTTTTAACTTGCTGAGCGTACGCTAGGAGAAAAACTCAAAGCGGATTCATAAACCACAAATATAGGAGTATATTATTCTATTACATTTAAACCGTATTGATTATGAAAAATTTGAGATAACAATTTTAACTGGTCTTTTTCACTTTGAAATTATTAATATTAACACAAAGGAAAATTACATGATTTTCGTTGAATTGCAAACTCTATTTGTATGGCAAATATTATGTTTGAACATCGTAAATAAATGTTAAATGTTGTAAATTCGTAGTTAAAATAAACTGGACTCTGTAAAGTCATTATTAAACATTTTTAGTTAAAGCACATTTTGCTATGAAAAACCAACATTTAAACGTTCGCAGTTTCCAACTAAGGTAAATAGAATGATATAAAAGTCTCATTTAATATTGGAGCACTATAAAAACGCATGGAAATTGCATTTATTCAAATACGTGGGATTTTATCTTCCGATATTTATTGTTTCGTGCGAATTTACATTTGAAAACACTCCATGATGTTTAGACATCCTCAACTTTAACAACGTCACCGGTCGTGACCTGTGTTTTAGGAACAAATTCGTATAATTTTATTTTTCAACAATTATTCAGGGTGATTCGGCCTAAATGTTTCATTTATTTCTTGATTAACACTAAAATTTGAAGTGTTTTTTTTTTAATTAAAGTTACCACTTGACAAAAATAATTCAGTTTTTATTTCATATTATCATATTAAATAAAGTAATCTAATGAAATTCAAAATTGAAAGTAGGTGGAGTTAGTTTGACAGTTTTTGTTCGACTTTCTATCTACGTAAAATCAAATTTTCGTCCATTAAAATGAGCTATCAAAAAGAAAACCGGGTGGGTGGACGGGGGCACTTTGAAGTTGTTTTTTTTTTAATTAGATTGACCACTTGCCAAATAAGAATTCAATTTTTTCTCACAGTAATTATAATAATCCAATGAAATTCAAAAGCGGAAGTGGGTGGGGTTAGTTTTACTTTTGTTTTATACGTTCCACTGTTTTTCAACATAAAAACCACTTTTCGTCCAATAAACCAAAACGAAAACAGGGTGGGTGGGCGGGGTCACTTTAAAGTGTTTTTTTTTAATTAGACTTACTTACTTCACAAAATATAATTCAATTTTCATTTCACAGTAAATCAAATAAGCCAATGAAATTCAAAATTGAAGGTAGGTGGAGTTAGTTTGACAGTTTTTGTTCACATTCGAATTTTACCTACGTAAAATCAAATTTTCGTTCATTCAAATTAGCGATCAACAAGAAAATTGGGTGGGTGGGCGGGGCCACTTTGAACTTTTTTTTTAAATTGGATTGACCACTTGCCAAATAAGAATTTAATTTTTTTCTCGCGGTAATTAAAATAACCCAATGAAATTCAAAAGCAGAAGTGGATGGGGTTAGTTTTACTTTTTTTTCTACGTTCCACTATTTTTAACATAAAACCACTTTTCGCCCAATAAAATCAGTGATCAGAAAGAAAAATTGGTGGTCACTTTAAAGTTTTTTTTTTAAATTACATTTGACCACTTGTTAAGCTACAATTCAATTTTCATCTCACCATAAATAAAATAAAACAATGAAATTCAAAAGTAGTAGCTTTTTATTTGGTCTAAATTCCACTGTTTATCAACATAAAATCCACTTTTCGTCCAATAAACCAAAACGAAAACTGGGTGGGTGGGCGGGGCCACTTTGGACTTTTTTTTTAAATTGGATTGACCACTTGCCAAATAAGAATTCAATTTTTTCTTACCGTAAATAAAATAACCCAATGAAATTCAAAAGCGGAAATGGGTGGGGTTAGTTTTACTTTTTTTTTCTACGTTCCACTGTTTTTTAACGTAAAACCACTTTTCGCCCAATAAAATGAGTGATCAGAAAGAAAAATTGGTGGTCACTTTAAAGTTTTTTTTTTAAATTACATTTGACCACTTGTTAAACTACAATTCAATTTTCATCTGACCATAAATAAAATAAACCAATGAAATTCAAAAGTGGTACCTTTTTATTCGGTCTAAATTCCACTGTTTATCAACATAAAATCCACTTTTCGTCCAATAAACCAAAGCGAAAACAGGGTGGGTGGGCGGGGCCACTTTGAAGTGTTTTTTTTTTTTAATTAGACTTACTTTACAAAATATATTTCAATTTTTGTTTCATAGTATTGAAAATCAGCCAATGAAATTCAAAATTGAAGGTAGGTGGAGTTAGTTTGACAGTTTTTGTTCGACTTTCTATCTACGTAAAATCAAATTTTCGTCCATTAAAATGAGTAATCAAAAAGAAAACTGGGTGGATGGGCGGGGGCAATTTGAAGTTTTTTTTTTAATTGGATTGACCACTTACCAAATAAGAATCCAATTTTTCTCACCGTAATTATAATAATCCAATGAAATTCAAAAGCGGAAGTGGGTGGGGTAAGTTTTACTTTTGTTTTCTACGTTCCACTGTTTTTCAAAATAAAAACCACTTTTCGTCCAATAAAATGAGTGATCAAAACGAAAAATTAGTGTTTGGGTGGGGTCACTTTGAAGTTTATTTTTTAAATTACATTTGACCACTTATTAACCTACAATTCAATTTTCATCTCACCATAAATAAAATAAACCAATGAAATTTAAAAGTGGAGGTGGGTGGGGTTAGTTTCACCTTTTTATTTTCATTTGGTCTAAATTCCACTGTTTATAAACAAAAAATCCACTTCGTCCAACAAGCCAAAAAGAAAACAAGGTGGGTGGGCAGTGCCACTTTGAAGCATTTTTTTTTTTTTTAATGAGACTTACCACTTCACAAAATATAATTCAATTTGCATTTCACAGTAAATCAAATAAGCCAATGAAATTCAAAATTGAAGGTAGGTGGAATTAGTTTAACAGTTTTTGTTCACATTCGAATTTTACCTAAGTAAAATCTAATTTTCGTCCATTAAAATTAGCGATCAAAAAGAAAATTGGGTGGGTGGGCGGGGACAACTTCAAGTTTATTTTTTAAATTACATTTGACCACTTGTTATGTTAACCCACAATTCAATTTTCGTCTTACCATAAATAAAATAAACCAATGAAATTTAAAATTCGAGGTGGGTGAGTTTCACCTTTTCATTTGGTTTAAATTCCACTGTTTACCAACATAAAATCTACTTTTCGTCCAATAAAATGAGTTATCAAAAGGAAAATTGAGTGGGTGGGCGGAGCCACTTTGAAGCTTTTTTTAATTAAATTTGTCCGTTTGCCAAAACAGAATTCAATTTTCATCTTACGGTAAAGAAAATAAGCCAATGAAATCCAAAAACGGAGGTCGGTAGAGCTAGTTTTACTTTTTTGATCTACATTCCACTCTTTGCCAACCTAAAATCCACTTTTCGACCAATAGATCAAAAAGAAAAGAGGGTGGGTGGGTGGGGCCACTTTGAAGAGTTTTTTTTTAATTAAACTTACCACTTCACGACATATAATTCAATTATTATTTCAAAGTAATCAAGTAAGCCAAAAAGAAAATTGAGTGGGTGGGCGGAGCCATTTTGAATTTTTTTTAATTAAATTTGTCCACTTGCCAAAAGTTCAATTTTCATCTTACAGTAACTATAATAAACCAATGGAATCCAAAAGTCGAGGTGGGTGGGGTTAGTTTTACCTTTTTATTTGGTCTAAATTCTACTGTTTATCAATATAAAATTCAATTTTCGTCCAATAAAACGAGTGATCAAAAACAAAACGGGGTGAGTGGGCGGGCTGACTTTGAATTTAAAGTTTGAAGACTTTGAAAATATTTCTATAACTTCTTCCAGTTGTTGTTAGCTTTGAATCTTTGAGATCTGGGTGAAAAAGAATATTTCTGTTAATTTTGAAAAACTCGTCAAAATTTTGATACTACTAAAAATGTCATGGAGTAGTCTGAAGACCAAAAATATACTAGTATTTGACAAGAACGTCGTCAACATTTCGTTATGAAGGTCTTCGAAGTCTTGACAACACTAGAATTCGTTCTCATTAATTAGAAAAATCGACTAATAATCACTTCGGTGTAAGCTCTCAGCCTTCTCGGAAACGTTATATGATGTTTAACACACAAAAAAGGGGAAAAACCAAAGATAATGGTGTTTTTTTACGATATTTCTCTATGACATTTTTTTGGTTGATTGAACTGTTTTCAGGAGCTTATAACATAAAAAAGCTGCAGTTTGATGTATAACACATCTATATTAATGTCATTTTATCAAAGACAAAAGGAAAAAATTGTTATACCTCGTCTAGTAAGTCCCCTTAAGCCAATTTAACCACTATTATTGAATTTCCTTTCAAACTTAACGACATTACAGTTGATTCGTTCATCTAAAGGATCTACTTGTTTGAATAAGTAGAACACTCGAAGAAAATTACGTCTGTGAAGCGGTATGAATTCTCGACAAGTGAAAGGAACATTACTTTGATAATTACAAACATATTTGTAACTTCTCCGTCTGTAGATCATTTGGCAGTTGAATGTGGAAAGTCGAGTCGCGCGATTTTCTTTAGAAGTCGGATCTCTTACACACAGAGCTTTGTATTTCTGTGTAGGCACCTGCTTTACCCTCTACAAATCAAAGTCAGTGCGTAGGAGACGTGTAAGTTAAACAAACCCCTTTCGTTCTTCCCGTGTTATTTCGTCTTTTGCCCCTTGAAGTGGCTTAGTCGGCATCAAAAGACACGGCGAAGAGAGTGAATATTCATCAAGGTGGGAGAGCTAATCTACGCACATCTACACACACTAATTAGTATTGTAGGTAAAGTGAGCAGCTCACATCAAAGGAGCGCCACTTGCGCGACGTACAGAGCTTAGATGTATAATAAATGGAGAGCTTTGTGATATCATCATTAAAACACCACGCTACCGGCATACCGAATCATTCCACTTTTTACATTACATATTCCGTTACATTAAGGATAACACCAGTTTTGAATTATTTATGGGTGTCATACCGTGTGAGCCGGGTCTTGAGTGATAAGGAGGCAAATGCAAATTGCCGCCACGAAACCGGACTTGCATCCCGAATTTGAAAAATTGACAACACGCCCGGAAAAAATTAAAACACATCCCGTGTTTTCCATGCAAGAATGTTGCTGAATCTTTAAAGCCAGTACATATCCGGCCATTTCCAGTTTCGCTAATTTCATCATACACAGTTCTGCCATTGTGTTTATGAGCCAATCCGAGCCAGGGACGGAATAAAATATGTGCCCGGAATAGTTCACATAAACACGTAAAGTTAATTTATCTACCGCGAGCGTGGCCGCACTGATAAAAAACAACCAACGCTAAAACAAACGTTTTCATAACAGAGGCGAAAAAATCGAGCTAGTTGCGCGGAATTTCACGATGCAAGCTCGCGAACGAGTCGAAAGTTTGAGAATGCAAGGGCCTGATAAAATTCGAGAGGGTCCAACCCTAAACTAACTAAACCAACTAAATCATAATAACGCAAGCCCTGCGGCCTACTGCAAACTTCACGGAATTCGCAAGATTCAATCTTGATCACAATAAATTGTCTAAGTTGGGCTAAGACCCGGTTTAAATTATCGCCAGTTATCGATTTTAGGGGAGGACGATGGGATGCTGGGCCGTAAAATTTGAACACGTGACGAAACTGCCCAACGGGATTTTCCCGATTAGAGAGAGAACCAGCGCAGATTAGGCGCTAAATCGACGGATACGCCAAATATACGGCCACTAATAACATATAATGCAAAAAGATAACTCAAGGGATGATAAATTCAGCCTAATGTACTGTCCAATAATTTTATTACGGCGGTGCGGTAACCACCGTTTTACACACTAGTGAACGAAAAGTTTGTTCATCGACACAAAAGTTCACGAAATAGTCATCAAAGTGATGCTAAAAATGATTATCCACGTTATCATGGAAGGTCGTGACTCGAGTTGCACACAGCAATTCATTACCAATAAATGCCACAACAGAATTTTGTAAACCCCATTATATGCTTGCTTACTGTGTTTTACTAAAGGAATAACCCACTTGAAACATATAAAACCAGACCCAAAGAATGCTTAAGTCAGTCAATCAAACATTGTGAAGACAGACTAATCGACAAAATGCAAAAACCATTAGTACTTTTTGCTACATATTTGGCTTTGGCCTTAGCAGTACCGATGCCAAAACCCGCTGACGAAAAACCGTAAGCCAAATCTACATGTTATATTTTCTTAATAATAGTTTTATATTTTTCTTTCAGTAACAAATTCGACTGGGACGTCCGACAACCTGGAATCCTCGATCTGAAAACTACAGGTACTTTCTACGACGATGGGGGTAAACGTCTTGATGGTTCAGCCACCTATTCGAAAAATTTTGTCGACCGTTCCCAGAGCGTTGGTGCTGGTTTAAATTACCACGATTACAATTCAAGACTGGGTGCTGGGCTAAATGTGCAAGACTTGGATGGGGCAGGAACTAGAGTTCAAGCAGACCTAACGAAGACACTTCTGAAAGATCAGTACAGTAATATCGAAGGTGGACTGCGATATGGACAAACCTTCAACACCCCATATGGAAACAGCGAACCGTTCTTCGGGGGCTTTGTCAGAGGAAGATTTTAATTTTTGACAAGCTTGAGGGTGAAAAGGCTGCAGCATGTTATTATTAAATTTCTGTTATTTATTTATTACTAAATTAGTTTGTTTTTGTAGCGGCAATTTTAAAAACATTTTAACAAAACTGTTCAATAAAGTAATTATTTATAAACATTGTCCTTGTTTTCTATGTCTAATGCCATCTTAAAACAAAGTGAATATAGAAACCTAAAGAGAAATTAAACACTTTAATCTTTAACACATAACAGGACGTGTTCAAAATAACTAAGGATTAATTCCACTGACTTACGAAGGCACACTACGAAGTCTTATCAATCTTCAAACGAATTACAGTAGAACCTCGATAATCCGAAATAATTGGGGAAAAGGTGTGTTCGGATTAGCGATTTGTTCGCAGAGAATTGAGTAACAACTTCATTCACTGCTAAAAACAAACTTCAAGAAATAAACCTTACTTTTTTTAAAAAGAAATAAAGTATTCTTATAAATACAATACATCCCTGAATTTTTTGATAACTTTTTCAAAAATGAAATTTTCCATAATGTATTCGTATTAGATATCCCTTATGCAAATTTCGACGATTTCCGAAATTTAACTAAATACATTAATTTTCTTGTAGATTTTGGACGGCAGAAGTCACTTCTGCGTACATTTCTTCGATAACTAAACTGTTTTTCCAGAATCGTGCATTGAAATATCGCAATTTTTAAAAATTTATAGTAACTCCTACGTTTTTCCGGAATTGACCTTTGAAATTTCGAAATTTTTAGAAAAATATAGCATGTTGATGGTCAAGGAGCAACAGTTTCGAAAGAATCAGTACGAAATGCGAGTTTCAGAAAATTTCTAAAAATTTCGATATTTCAACGGTCGATTCCGGAGAAACGGCAGCAGTTATCAAAGAAACGAGGCCCGAAGTGAGTTTTAGAGCTCTAAATCTACAAGAAAATGTATTCAGTTAAGTTTCGGAAATGTCAAAATTTGGTCGAAATTTGAAGAAGAGGGCTCATTGGAAAAATTTCACTTTTAAAAAAGTCGTCTCTAAATTCTGAAAAAATTCAGGAACGTAGATCCCGACACGCTGATTCCAAAAATATAGCATACTGATGGTCCGGAGCAACATTTTTGAAAGAATCGGTACGAAATGCGAATTTTTGAATATTTCTAAAAATCTGGATATTTCAACAATCGATTTCGGAAAAACGGTAGCAATTATCAAAGAAACGAGGCTCGAAGTGAGTTCTAGAGATCTAAATTTACAAGAAAATGTATTCCGTTAAGTTTCGAACACGTGGAAAATTGGCCGAAATTTGAAGAACGGGAAAGCACAGAAAAAATTTCACTTTTAAAAAAGTTGTCTAAAAATTGATAAAAAAATTCAGGGACTTAAAACTAGACATGCTGATTCCAAAAATATAGCATGTTGATGATCAAGTAAAACAATAATATCGTCAAGCTAAATAATTTAGAATTACGTCCAATTACATCAAGTTCCTTCTTGAAAAAAAAAACATTACAAAAGTATCTTTATTTTATTTCCATCGATTCTCTTTAAAAGAAACAAAACCACCCACCAGTTTAGTAAGTAGCTACACAATCTCTATAAATGTCAGTCAAGGTAGGCGATAAGTTTTACAGACTTGGCAAAATTAACATTATCAAGACGTGATGTGTTATGAGAGGATAAAATAATGAAGTAAGTGCTAAATTTGGTTTAATTTAATTTTGTTGTGGAAATAATTTATAGCTAGCTTAATTTATTTGATTACAATAACAATAAAAAAATGTTATATCCCTTCGATTGATTAACAGATCTGACACCAGAGGCGGAATTTTAAAGGCAATTTACCGACGTGCAGTAACGTATAAAAAATAAACCCAACTGATGATATAACAAATAAATCTTATCTCAGGTCAAGCTTCGAGTTGAACAAAGTGAATTTTTTGCAGATAATAATATACGGAGCGACCAACAAAGCTGGAATATGTGAAACCCAATCTTCTTTATCTTCTATACTCAAGGAATAACCCAATTGAAACATATAAGAACCGACCCAAAGTATGCTTCAATCAGTTAGTCTTACATTGTGAAGATAGACAAACCAAACTAACCAACAAAATGCAAAAACTCGTAGTCCTTTTTGCTGCAAATTTGGCTTTGGCCTTAGCTTTCGTGTCCCCTGTGGATAACAATGGTCCTGGAAGACAAATACCGATTCCTAAACCCACCGACGAAAAACCGTAAGCCAAACTAAATTTTGTATTTTCTTAATGATAATTTTATATATTTTTTCAGTAACAAATTCGACTGGGACGTCCGAAAACCTGGAATCCTCGATCTGAAAACTACGGGGACTTTCTACGACGACGGGGGTAAACGTCTTGATGGTTCAGCTAGCTATTCGAAAAATTTTGTCGACCATTCCCAGAAAATCGGTGCTGGTTTAAATTACCACGATTACAATTCAAGACTGGGTGCTGGGTTAAATGTGCAAGATTTGGATAGAGCAGGAACTAGAGTTCAAGCAGAACTAACGAAGACACTTCTGAAAGATCGATTCAGTAATATCGAAGGTGGACTGCGATATGGACAGACCTTCAACACCCCATACGGAAACAGCGAACCGTTCTTCGGGGGCTTTGTAAGAGGAAGATTTTAATTTTCGACAAGCTTGAGAATGAAAAGGGTGCAGAATGTTATTATTAAATTTCTGTTATTTATTTATTTATATTTGTTATTAAGTTGGTTTGCTTTTGACGCGACAATTTTAAAAACATTTTAACGAAAGTGTTCAATAAAGTCATTAATTATAAACAGTATTTTCCTTGTTTTCTATGTCTAATGTCATCTTCTTCCAACAAATTAAATATAGAAACCTAAAGCGAAATTAAACCCATTGTTAAGAGAATCTTTAACGCATAAGAGAACTTCATCAAAATAACTAAGGATTAATTCCTCTAACTTACTAAGGCACACTGCGAAGTCTTACACAATCTATGAACGAATTATTTTCTTTTATTAATTCTACGGAATTACATTTTATTAAAATATTCTTTACAATGCTAAGTTTAAACTAACTTCAAACACAGTCGGTATTTCCAATAACGTGAAAAAAACATTCAACTACAATTTCAGAATAAAACATTTTCCAAATATTTTACATGTTCCGATTTAAAAGCTTATATATCGTAAATCTGAAAACACTTTTTTTTTAACAGCGCAACGTTTTTTTGCTCATGCATTAAAATCGTTGATAAAGTGTAGATTAATTTACTTCATGTAAATTCATTATTGGTTGAAATTCTTGATATCATGTGGCGTAATTACTTTAAGTAAATAATTTTAATACTCATTCAGTCATCGTTATAAATTCGAGAGAGATAGAATTTAAACTTAAATGAATTAAAAGAGCACAAGTTCGTCATTTTATATTTTATTTCAAGGCTTTGATTCTACCGCTTGTCAAAATAAAATTCTATTTCCAATTCAGAGTAAATAAAATAAGTCACTAAAATAGAGAAACGAGGTGGGCGGAGCTAAATGTAGCTTTTTCTGCAGTCTTGTATCACGCAATAGCCCCGCCCACCCGCCCCCTCGTTATTCTAGTGAAAACTCTTAATCCTGTTAATTAATCACAACATTATTGTCCTGTAAAAATCTTAGACAAATCTGTTAAACCTTTCGTGAGAAAATAGATAAATTGTTCAACAATGAATTTACAAGGCATTAAGCTGGTGTTAAGTAAGCATACCAGACGTGAGAATTATGTTTAAAAAGCAAAATGATCGATGCTCCTCCCTGTCGCACAAGCTCCACCTTAATAAATAATTTCATTGGCCCGAAGAAGAAGAAAGGCGTTTACAATCGTTGTACCTGATTGTGTGCAGTTTGCATTATTTGTCACTATTTAAGTGGAAATGCTGAATACAGTATTTTCGAAAAATAATGAAATTTAGGAAAATTTAAAATTTCATTAAAAAAAAGTGTAATCATAAAATCCAACTTCGGTCTTAGAACTAACAAGGATGAATGATTAAAACAGAAGAGGGGTGGGTGGGCGGGGTCATTTTTGATTTTGTTACAAATCTTAGTCTCTACCGCTTGTCAAAATAGAATTTAATTTCCATTTTACAGTAAATAACACAAGTCAGTGAAGTGAAAAAAGGAAGTGCGAAGGGGTAAATTTAGTTTTCTTCTACAATCTTGTTAGCACGTTTTAGCCCCACCCGCCCATCTCTTCTTCATTCTAGTGATTATCCTTAATATTGTTAATTGGTGACAACGTTATTATCTTAATAAAATTTGAACAAATTTGTTAAACCGTTAAAAAATTAGTTAAATTGTTCAACAAAGTATATTGAAAGTATTAAGTTGACTATAAATAGGCATATCAGACGATAGAATCATATTTAAAATCAAAATTACCGACGCTTCTCTCTCACGCACAAGCTCCACCTTAATAAATCATTTCATTAGCCCAAAGGAAAGGGGTGGCGTTTACAACTGTGCCTCATTGTATCTACTTTGGATAATTTTTTATTACAAACATTTAGATGCAAACGTAAATGTTATTTGACACAAGTGTTATCTATTAAATAATTATAAAATCCAACTTCCTTCTCAGAGCTAATAAAATGAGTGACCAAAATAAAACAGGGGTGGGTGGGCGGGGCATAACCTTTACCAAACAAAGAAGGGGTGGGTGGGTGGAGCATATCTTTTACCAAACAAAAACGCTGTTACGGTAGCCAAAGCACTTGCAGAAAGTTTCATATTGAAGTTTAGAGTATCTCATGAAATTGTCAGAGATCTAAAATGTGAATTTCAGTGTAATAATTTACATAAAATTTAGAGAATCCTTAATTTCAAAAAATTAAATTCAATGAGACTCTTGAACCCGAACATGGTTTCTAGTTAAAATTTGGGGTTTCATCATTGCCCAAATAGATGTTGACTTCATGGGGAGACCTGCGTCCGCGTGAAATGCTGGATTTAAGCTGGCTAGTTTGCGAAAACCAGGTAAAGGGTATAATATGAGGCAGGTTTTTTGGGCTTAGAAATGTGAAATGTGTGTTATACCTGCTATAGAATTTAATCAACCAGGAAAGGTGACAGATTACGACGAAGAACTTAAATTCCGCTCTAGACCGCTTACTGAGTTCTGGGCTGTCATAATTTAAATTTGCGGGCACACCATCCTAACACCTTGTATATTTCCATCCAGTTACTTTAACCCAGAGTTCTCATTTTCTTAGTGTTTTTAAAATTGTGATATTCAAATATTTATGTTAATTCATTATTTAATTAATTTATATTATTAATTATCAGATTCGTTCTAAATGAACAAAAAATTACTGTGAAAAAAGCCAAATAAAAAATTAATACCGGCAAAATAAAAAGTTTAGAATTAAAAAAAAATGCATTATAAAAATTTCTTCGTTTTATTTTCATAGATTCTCTTTAAAAGAATCAAAACCATCCACCAGTTTAGTAAGTAGCTACACAATATCAATAAATGTCAGTCAAGGTAGGCGATTAGTTTTACAAACTTGGCAAAACTGGCATTACTAAGACGTGATGTTTTATGACAGGTTAGAATAATGAAGTAAGTGCTAAATTTGCTTTAATTTAACTTTGTTATGAAAATTATTTATAGCCAGCTTAATTTATTTGATTACCATAACAATGAAAAAATGTTATATCCTCTAGATTGATTAACAGATCTGACACCAGAATCTGAATGTTAAAGGCAGTAACGTATAAAAAATAAACCCAAATGATGATATAACAAATAAATGTTATCTCAGGTCAAGATTCTAGTTTAACAAAGCGAATTTTTTACTGATTATACGGAGCGACCAACAGCGGGAATATGTAAAACCCAGTCCTGTTTATCTTCTATACTAAAGGAATAACCCAATTGAAACATATAAGAACCGACCCAAAGGATGCTTCAATCACTCATTCGAACATTGTGAAGATAGACAAACCAAACTAACGAACAAAATGCAAAAACTCGTAGTCCTTTTTGCTGCAAATTTGGCTTTGGCCTTAGCTTTTGTGTCCCCTGTGGATAACAATGGTCCTGGAAGACAAATACCGATTCCTAAACCCACCGACGAAAAACCGTAAGCCAAACTAATTTTTATATTTCCTTGATGATAGTTTTAATTTTTTTTTCAGTAACAAATTCGACTGGGACGTCCGAAAACCTGGAATCCTCGATCTGAAAACTACGGGGACTTTCTACGACGACGGGGGTAAACGTCTTGATGGTTCAGCTAGCTATTCGAAAAATTTTGTCGACCATTCCCAGAAAATCGGTGCTGGTTTAAATTACCACGATTACAATTCAAGGCTGGGTGCTGGGTTAAATGTGCAAGATTTGGATAGGGCAGGAACTAGAGTTCAAGCAGAACTAACGAAGACACTTCTGAAAGATCGGTTCAGCAATATCGAAGGTGGACTGCGATATGGACAAACTTTCAACACCCCATACGGAAACAGCGAACCGTTCTTCGGGGGCTTTGTCAGAGGAAGGTTTTAATTTTCGACAAGCTTGAAAATGAAAAGGCTGCAGAATGTTATTATTAAATTTCTGTTATTTATTTATTTATATTTGTTATTAAGTTGTTTTATTTTCGAGGCGACAATTTTAAAAACCTTTTAACGTAACTGTTCAATAAAGTAATTAATTATAAACAGTATCTTCGTTGTTTCCTATGTCTAATGTTAATGTTTTTAAGAAGTATTACATTATAACACACTTCTTGACTTCTCACCAAAGATTTTATAGTCCAAGTCTAATTATTCTTTTCCAGGTTTAATAATATTTTTGCGGTTTGAATTCGAACACTTATTTTCGACGGCGCCACTCAAAAGCGCAACGTTTTCGAGACCAGCCTATTGTGGTTTTAATCGTATTGCATATGTTTTTTTGGTCATGCATTAAAATCGTTGACAAAGTGTGATTAATTTACATCATGTAAATTCTTTATTGGTTGAAATTCTTGATATCATGTGGCGTAATTAACTTAGGAAAGTAATTTTAATACTCATTCAGTCACCGTTATAAATTCGACAGAGATCGAATTTAAACTTAAATGAAATACAATAAAACAAGTTCAATATTTTTCATTATATTTTAGGTCTTAGATTGTATCGCTTGTCAAAATAGAATTCAATTTCCATTTTAGAGCAAATAAAATAAGTCAGTAAAAACGAGAAAGGAGGTGGGCGAAGCTAAGTTAGCTTTTTTCTACAGTCTTGTCACAAACAATAGCCCCGCCCACCCACCCCCTCTTTATTCTAGTGGCAACTCTTCATATTGTCAATTAATGACTACGTTATGTCTTCTAAGCATCTTAGTGAAATCTGTTAAACCTTTCTTCAGAAAATAGATAAATTGTTCAACAAGGAATTTACAATGCATTCAGCTGGTGTTAAGTAAACATGCCAGACATGACAATTATATTTAAAAAACAAAATTAACTATGCTCCTCCCTCTGGCACAAGCTACACTTTAATAAATCATTTCACTGGCCCGAAGAAGAAGAAAGGCGTTTACGATCGTTGTACTTGATTGTGTGCAGTTTACATTATTTGTCACTATTTAAGTGGAAATGCTGAAGACAGTCGTTTTCGAAAAATAATGAAATTTAGGAAAATTTAAAATTTCATTAAAAAAAAGTGTAATCATAAAATCCAACTTCGGTCTTAGAACTAACAAGGATGAGTGATTAAAACAGAAGAGGGGTGGGTGGGCGGGGCCATTTTTGATTTTGTTACAAATCTTAGTCTCTACCGCTTGTCAAAATAGAATTTAATTTCCATTTTAAAGTAAATAACATAAGTCAGTGAAGTGAAGAAAGGAAGTGGGAAGGGGTAAATTTAGTTTTCTTCTACAATCTTGTTAGCACGTTTTAGCCCCACCCGCCCACCTCTTCTTCATTCTAGTGATTATCCTTAATATTGTTAATTGGTGACAACGTTTTTATCTTAATAAAATTTGAACAAATTTGTTAAACCGTTAAAAAATTAGTTGAATTGTTCAACAAAGTATATTGAAAGTATTAAGTTGACTATAAATAAGCATATCAGACGATAGAATCATATTCAAAATCAAAATTACCGACGCTCCTCTCTCACGCACAAGCTCCACCATAATAAATCATTTCATTGGCCCAAAGGAAAGAGGTGGCGTTTGCAACTGTGCCTCATTGTATCTACTTTAGATATTTTTTTTTACAAACATTTAAGTGTAAACGTAAATGTTATTTGATAAAAGTGTTATCTATTAAATAATTATAAAATCCAACTTCCTTCTCAGAGCTAATAAAATGAGTGACCAAAATAAAACAGGGGTGGGTGGGCGGGGCATATCCTTTACCAAACAAAGAAGGGGTGGGTGGGTGGGGCATATCTTTTACCAAACAAAAACGCTGTTACGGTAGCGAAAGCATTTGCAGAAAGTTTCATATTGAAGTTTAGAGTATCTCATGAAATTGTCAGAGATCAAGAATGTGAATTTCTGTGTAATAATTTACATAAAATTTAGAGAATCCTTAATATCAAAAAATTAAATTCAATGAGACTCTTGAACCCGAACATGATTTCTAGTTAAAATTTGCGGTTTCATCATTGCCCAAATAGATGTTGACTTCATGGGGAGACCTGCGTCCGCGTGAAATGCGTAGCTGGATTTAAGCTGGCTAGTTTGCGAAAACCAGGTAAAGGTTATAATACGACGCAGGTTTTTTGGGCTTAGAAATGTGAAATGTGTGTTATACCTGCTATAGAGTTTAATCAACCAGGAAAGGTGACAGATTACGACGAAGAACTTAAATTCCGCTCTAGATCGTTTACTGAGTTCTGGGCTGTCATAATTTAAATTTGCGGCCACACCATCCTAACACCTTGTATATTTCCATCCAGTTACTTTAACCCAGAGTTCTCATTTTCTTAGTGTTTTTAAAATTGTGATATTCAAATATTTATGTTAATTCATTATTTAATTAATTTATATAATTAATTTTATCAGATTCGTTTTAAATGAACAAAAAATTACTGTGAAAAAAGCCAAATAAAAAATTAATACCGTCAAAATAAAAAGTTTAGAATTGAAAAAAATGCATTATAAAAATATCTTCATTTTATTTTCATAGATTCTCTTTAAAAGAATCAAAACCATCCACCAGTTTAGTAAGTAGCTACACAATATCAATAAATGTCAGTCAAGGTAGGCGATTAGTTTTACAAACTTGGCAAAATTGGCATTACTAAGACGTGATGTTTTATGACAGGTTAGAATAATGAAGTAAGTGCTAAATTTGCTTTAATTTAACTTTGTTATGAAAATTATTTATAGCCAGCTTAATTTGTTTGATTACCATAACAATGAAAAAATGTTATATCCTCTAGATTGATTAACAGATCTGACACCAGAATCTGAATGTTAAAGGCAGTAACGTATAAAAAATAAACCCAAATGATGATATAACAAATAAATGTTATCTCAGGTCAAGATTCTAGTTTAACAAAACGAATTTTTTACTGATTATACGGAGCGACAAACAGCGGGAATATGTAAAACCCAGTCCTCTTTATCTTCTATACTAAAGGAATAACCCAATTGAAACATATAAGAACCGACTCAAAGTATGCTTCAATCAGTTAGTCTTACATTGTGAAGCTAGACAAACCAAACTAACCTACAAAATGCAAAAACTTCTAGTCCTTTTTGCTGCGAATTTGGCTTTGGCCTTAGCTTTCGTGTCCCCTGTGGATAACAATGGTCCTGGAAGACAAATACCGATTCCTAAACCCACCGACGAAAAACCGTAAGCCAAACTAAATTTTATATTTTCTTAATGATAATTTTATATATTTTTTCAGTAACAAATTCGACTGGGACGTCCGAAAACCTGGAATCCTCGATCTGAAAACTACGGGGACTTTCTACGACGATGGGGGTAAACGTCTTGATGGTTCAGCTAGCTATTCGAAAAATTTTGTTGACCATTCCCAGAAAATCGGTGCTGGTTTAAATTACCACGATTACAATTCAAGACTGGGTGCTGGGTTAAATGTACAAGATTTAGATAGGGCAGGAACAAGAGTTCAAGCAGAATTAACGAAGACACTTCTGAAAGATCGATTCAGTAATATCGAAGGTGGACTGCGATATGGACAAACCTTCAACACCCCATACGGAAACAGCGAACCGTTCTTCGGGGGCTTTGTCAGAGGAAGATTTTAATTTTCGACAAGCTTGAGGTTGAAAAGGCTGCAGAATGTTATTATTAAATTTTTGTTATTTATTTATTTATATTTGTTATTAAGTTGGTTTATTTTTGAGGCGACAATTTTAAAAACATTTTAACGAAACTGTTCAATAAAGTAATTAATTATAAACAGTATTTTTCTTGTTTTCTATGTCTAATGTCATCTTCTTCCAACAAATTAAATATAGAAACCTAAAGAGAAATTAAACACTTTGTTGAGAAAATCTTTAACGCATGACAGAACATCATCAAAGTAACTAAGAATTAATTGCAATAACTTACGAAGATACAGTACGAAGTCTTACACAATCTTTGAACGAATTTTTTTCTGTTATTAATTTTTTACAAATTCTGATTTAAAAGCTAACAATTGCTTATATACCGTAAGTCTGGCACACTTTTTTTTTTAAAGAAGTATTACTTTTTACTTCTTGACTTTTCACCAAAGACTTATAGTCCAAATCTAATTATTTTCTTGCTGGTTTAATAATATTTTTGCCGCTTGAATTCGAACATTTATTCTCGACGTCGCCGCTCTTAAGCGCAACGTTTTCGAGACCGGTCTGTTATGGTTTTAATCGTATTGGATATGAATTTTGGTCATGCATTAAAATCGTTGATAAAGTGTTACTTAATTTAACATGATGTAAATTATTTATTTTTTATTATTATTATTATTTATCTTTCAATACTCATTCAGTCATCGTTATAAATTCGAGCGAGATAGAATTTAAACTTAAATGAACTAAAAGGGCACAAGTTCGCCAATTTTCATTTTATTTCATGTCTTAGATTCTATCGCTTGTCAAAATAGAATACAATTTCCATTTTACAGTGAATTAAATAAGTCAGGGCGGGGCTATATTTATCTTTTTTCTACAGTCTTGTTGCAAACAATAGCCCCGCCCACCCACCCCCCTCTTTATTCTAGTGACAATCCTTAATTCTGATAATTAATGACAACGTTATTGTGTTGTAAGAATCTGAGACAAATCTGTTAGATTTTTCGTCAGAAAATAGATAAAATGTTCAACAAGGAATTTAGAAGACATTAAACTGGTGTTAAGTAAATATACCAGACTTGAGAATTGTATTTAAAAATCAAAATTACCGACGCTCCTTCCTCACTCACAAGCTCCACCTTAATAAATCATTTCATTGGCCCAAAGGAGAGGGGTGGCGTTACAACTGTGCCTCATTGTATCTACTTTATATAATTTTTTATTACGAATATTTAAATGTAAATATAAATGTTGTTTAACACAAGCATAATCTATTAAATAGTTATAAAATCCAACTTCCTTCTCAGAACGAATAAAATGAGTGACCAAAATGAAACAGGGGTGGGTGGGCGGGGCATATTCTATACCAAACAAAAAAGGGGTATGTGGGCGGGGCATATCTTTTACCACCAGTTTAGTAAGTAGCTACTCAATATCAATAAATATCGGTCAAGGTAGGCTATAAGTTTACGGATTTCGCAAAATTGGCGGCATTATAAAAACGTGATATTTTATGACAGGATAGAATAATGGACTAAAGTGCTAAAGTTGGTTTAATTTAAGTTCGTTATGAAAATAATTTATAGCCAGCTTAATTTATTTGAATATCATTACAATAAAAAAATGTTATATCCCCTAGATTGATGAACAGATCTGACACCACAAGCGGAATTTTAAAAGCAATTTACCAACGTGCAGTAACATAAAAAAAATAAACCCACATGGTGATATAACAAATAAATGTTATCTCAGGTCAAGCTTCTAGTTGAACAAAGCGAATGTTTTGCTGATAATATACGGAGTAACCAACACAGCGGGAATACGTAAAACCCAGTCCTCTTTATCTTCTATACTAAAGGAATAACCCAAGTGAAACATATAAGAACCGACCCAAAGTATGCTTCAATCAGTTAGTCTTACGTTGTGAAGCTAGACAAACCAAACTAACCTACAAAATGCAAAAACTTATAGTCCTTTTTGCTGCAAATTTGGCTTTGGCCTTAGCTTTCGTGTCCCCTGTGGATAACAATGGTCCTGGAAGACAGATACCGATTCCTAAACCCACCGACGAAAAACCGTAAGCGAAAACTAAATTTTATATTTTCTTTATGATAGTTTTATATATTTTTTTTTCAGTAACAAATTCGACTGGGACGTCCGAAAACCTGGTATCCTCGATCTGAAAACTACGGGGACTTTCTACGACGACGGGGGTTCACGTCTTGATGGTTCAGCCTCCTATTCGAAAAATTTTGTCGACCATTCCCAGAAAATCGGTGCTGGTTTAAATTACCACGATTACAATTCAAGACTGGGTGCTGGGTTAAATGTGCAAGATTTGGACAGGGCAGGAACTAGAGTTCAAGCAGAACTAACGAAGACGCTTCTGAAAGATCGGTTCAGTAATATCGAAGGTGGACTGCGATATGGACAAACCTTCAACACCCCATATGGAAACAGCGAACCGTTCTTCGGGGGCTTTGTCAGAGGAAGATTTTAATTTTCGACAAGCTTGAGAATGAAAAGACTACAGAGTGTTATTATTAAATTTCTGTTATTTATTTATTTATATTTGTTATTAAGTTGGTTTATTTTCGAGGCGACAATTTTAAAAACATTTTAACGAAACTGTTCAATAAAGTAATTAATTATAAACAATATCTTCCTTGTTTTCTAAGTCTAATGCCATCTTCTTCCAACAAACATAAAAAGAACTTAAACCCATTGTTGAGAAAATCTTTAACGTATAACAGAACGTTAACAAAATAACTAAGCATTAAGTCCACTGACTTACGAAGGCACACTGCGAAGTCTTACACGATATTTCAACGAATTATTTTCTTTTATTATTTCTGCGAATTAATTGTATTATAACACACTTTTTGACTTCTCAACAAAGATTTACAGACCAAGTCTAATTATTCTCTTGCTGGTTTAATAATAATATTTTTGCGGCTTGAATTCGAACATTTATTCTCGACGGCGTCGCCTAAAGCCCAACGTCTTCGAGACCAGCCTATTGTGGTTTTAACCGTTTTGCATGTTTTTTTGCTAATGCATTAAAAACATTGATAAAGTGTGACTTAATTTAACATCATGTAAATTCTTTATTGGTTGAAATCCTTGATATCATGTGGCCTAATTAATTTAAGTAAGTAATTTTAATATCCATTCAGTCATCAAGAATTTAAACTTAAATGAAATAAAACGGCACAAGTTCGTCATTTTTCAATTTATTTCAAGTCTTAGATTCTACCGCTTGCAAAATAGAATGCAATTTCCATTTTACAATAAAGAAAAGAAGTAATAAGGGCTAAATTTAGGTTTTTTTTTACAATCTTATCACCACGTCTTAGCCCCACCCGCCCACCCCCTCTTCGTTCTAGTGATTACCCTTTATAATGTTAATTAGTGATGATTATTTTCATATTAAAATTTAGACAAATTTGTTAAACCGTTAAAAAATTAGACAAATTGTTCAACAAAGTATATTGAAAGTTTTAAGTTGACTATAAATAACCCTATCAGACGATAGATTCATATTTAAAAATCAAAATTACCGACGCTCTACCCTTACACACAAGCTCCACCTTAATAAATCATTTCATTGGCCCAAAGGAGAGGGATGTGTTTACAAATGTGCCTCATTGTATCTACTTTAGATAATTTTTTATTACGAGTATTTAAGTGTAAACGTAAATGTTATTTAACCAAGTGTAATCCATTAAATGGTTATAAAATCCAACTTCCTTCTCAGGGCCAATAAAATGAATGACCAAAATGAAACAGGGGTGGGTGGGCGGGGTATATCGTTTACCAAACAAAGAAGGGGTTGGTGGGTGGGGCATATCTTTTACCAAACTAAAAAGCTATTACGGTAGTCAAAGCATTTGAGAAAGTTTTATATTGAAGTTTAGAGTATCTCATGAAATTGTCACAGATCAAGAATGTGAATTTCTTTGCAATATTTTAAATAAAATTTAGAGAATCCTTAATATCAAAAAATTAAATTCAATGAGACTCTTGGACACGAACGTGATTTCTAGTTAAAATGTGCGATTTCATCATTGCCCAAATAGATGTTGAAATTGAGACTTCATGGGGAGACTTGCGTCCGCGTGAAATGCGCAGCTTGGCTGCCTAGTTTGCGAAAACCGGGTGAAGGGTATAATATGCGGCAGGTTTTTTTTGGGTATAGAAATATGGAGTGTGTGTTATACCTGTTATAGAGTTGAATCAATAAGGAGGGGTGACAAACTACGACAAAGAACTTAAATTCCGCGCTCGTTACAACGTCCGCTCTAGGTCGCTTGCTAAGTTCTGAACTGTCATAATTTAAATTTGCCGCCACACCATCCCAACAACTTGTGTATTTGCATCCAGTTACTTTAAATCAGAGTTCTCATTTTCTTTGTGTTTTTAAAATTGTGATATTCAAATATTTACGTTAATTCATTATGTAATTAATTTACATTATTAATTATCAGATTTGTTTTAAAGGAAGAAAAAATTACTGTGAAAAATCCAAATAAAAAATTAATATCGTCAAACTAAAGAGTTTAGAGTTGAAAAAAAAATGCATTAGAAAAGTATCTTCTTTATTTTATATTCATCGATTCTCTTTAAATGAACCAAAACCACCCACCAGTTTAGTAAGTCGCTACCCAATATCAATAAATGTCAGTCAAGGTAGGCGATAAATTTTACAGACTCGGCAAAATTAGCATTATAAAGAGGTGATGTTCTATGACAGGATCGGATATTGAAGTAAGTGCTAAATTTGGTTTAATTTTATTTTGTTATGGAAATAATTTATAACTAATTTAATTTATTTGATTAAATTAACAATAAAAAAATGTTATATCCCCTAGATTGATTAACAGATCTGTGACCAGAAGCGGAATTTTAAAGACAATTTACCAACATGCAGTAAGGTATAAAAAATAAACCCAACTGATGACATAACAAATAATTGTTATCTCAGGTCAAGCTACTAGTTGAACAAAGCGAATTTTTTGCTGATAATATACGGAGCGACCAACACTGCGAGAATATGTAAAACCCAGTCCCCTTTATTTTCTATACTAAAGGAATAACCCAAGTGAAACATATAAGAACCGACCCAAAGTATCCTTCAATCAGTTAGTCTTACATTGTGAAGATAGACAAACCAAACTAACCAACAAAATGCAAAAACTAGTAGTCCTTTTTGCTGCAAATTTGGCTTTGGCCTTAGCTTTCGTGTCCCCTGTGGATAACAATGGTCCTGGAAGACAAATACCGATTCCTAAACCCACCGACGAAAAACCGTAAGCCAAACTAAATTTTGTATTTTCTTAATGATAATTTTATATATTTTTTTTCAGTAACAAATTCGACTGGGACGTCCGAAAACCTGGAATCCTCGACCTGAAAACTACGGGGACTTTCTACGACGACGGCGGTTCACGTCTTGACGGTTCAGCTTCCTATTCCAAAAATTTTGTCGACCATTCCCAGAAAATCGGTGCTGGTTTAAATTACCACGACTACAATTCAAGACTGGGTGCTGGGTTAAATGTGCAAGATTTGGATAGGGCAGGAACTAGAGTTCAAGCAGAACTAACGAAGACACTTCTGAAAGATCGATTCAGTAACATCGAAGGTGGACTGCGATATGGACAAACTTTCAACACCCCATACGGAAACAGCGAACCGTTCTTCGGGGGCTTTGTCAGAGGAAGATTTTAATTTTCGACAAGCTTGAGAATGAAAAGGCTGTAGAATGTTATTGTTAAATTTCTGTTATTTATTTATTTATATTTGTTATTAAGTTGGATTATTTTCGAGGCGACAATTTTAAAAACATTTTAACGAAACTGTTCAATAAAGTAATTAATTATAAACAATATCTTCCTTGTTTTCTAAGTCTAATGCCATCTTCTTCCAACAAACATAAAGAGAACTTAAACCCATTGCTGAGAAAATCTTTAACGTATAACAGAACGTTAACAAAATAACTAAGCATTAATTCCACTGACTTACGAAGGCACACTGCGAGGTCTTACACGATATTTCAACGAATTATTTTCTTTTATCATTTCTGCGAATTAATTGTATTATAACAAACTTTTTGACTTCTAAACAAAGATTTACAGACCAAGTCTAATTATTCTCTTGCTGGCTTAATAATATTTTTGCGGCTTGAATTCGAACATTTATTCTCGGCGTCGCTCTAAAGCGCAACGTTTTCCAGACCAGCCTATCGTGGTTTTAATCGTTTTGCATGGTTTTTTTGCTAATGCATTAAAAACGTTGATAAAGTGTGACTTAATTTAACATCATGTAAATTCATTATAGGTTGAAATCCTTGATATCATGTGGCATAATTAATTTAAGTAAGCAATTTTAATATTCATTCAGTCATCAAGAATTTAAACTTAAATGAAATAAAACGGCACAACTTCGTCATTTTTCAATTTATTTCAAGCCTTAGATTCTAACGCTTACAAAATAGAATTCAATTTCCATTTTACAGTAGATAAAATAAGTCAGTGAAATGGAGAAAGGAGGTGGGTGGGACTATGTTAACTTTTTTCTACAGTCTTGCAACAAACAATAGCCCCGCCCACCCGCCCCCTCTTTATTCTAGTGACAACTCTTAATCCTGTCAATTAATGACAACTTTATTGTCCTGTCAAATCTGTCCATTTTTGATTTTATTGCAAATCTTAGTCTCTACCGCTTATGAAAATAGAATTTAATTTCCATTTTACAGTAAATAAAATAAGTCAGTGAAGTGAAGAAAAGAAGTAAGAAGGGCTAAGTTTAGTTTTTTTACAATCTTATCAGTACGTCTTAGCCCCACCCGCCCACGCCCTCTTCTTTCTAGTGAGTACTCTTTATATTGTCAATTAGTGACGATTATTATCTTATTAAAATTTAGACAAATTTGTTAAACCGTTAAAAAATTAGACAAATTGTTCAACAAAGTATATTGAAAGTATTAAGTTGACTATAAATAAGCATACTTATCAGACGATAGAATCATATTTAAAAATCAAAATTACCGACGCTCTTCCCTCACACACAAGCTCCACTTTAATAAATCATTTCATTGGCCCAAAGGAGAGGGGTGGCGATTACAACTGTGCCTCGTTGTATCTACTTTATATAATTTTTTATTACGAGTACCTATTTAAGTGTAAACGTAAATGTTGTTTAACACAAATGTAACCTATTAAATAGTTATAAAATCCAACTTCCTTCTCAGAGCCAATAAAATGAGTGACCAAAATGAAACAGGGGTGGGTGGGTGGGGCAAACCCTTTACCAAACAAAGAAAGGGTGGGTGGGCGGGGCATATCTTTTACCAAACAACAAAGCTGTTACGGTAGCCAAAGCATTTAAGGAAGTTTCAAATTGAACTGTACAGTATCTCATGAAATTGTCACAGATCAAGAATGTGAATTTCTTTGTAATACTTTAAATAGAATTTAGAGAATCCTTAATATCAAAAAATTAAATTCAATGAAACTCTTGGACCCGAACATGGTTTCTAGTTAAAATATGAGGTTTCATCATTGCACAAATAAATAGATGTTGAAATTCAGACTTCATGGGGAGACTTGCGTCCGCGGGAAAGATGCAGCTTGGCTGCCTAGTTTGCGAAAACCGGATGAAGGTTATAATATGCGGCAGGTTTTTTTGGGTGTAGAAATATGCTTATAAGTGCTAAATTTGGTTTAATTTAAGTTTGTTATGAAAATAATTTATAACCAGCTTAATTTATTTGATTACCATAACAATAAAAAAGTGTTATATCCCTTAGATTGATGAACAAATCTGCCCCCAGAAGCGGAATTTTAAAGGCAATTTACAAATGTTCAGTAACGTATAAAAAATAAACCCAGATGATGATATAACAAATGTTATCTCAGGTCAAGCTTCTAGTTGAACAAAGTGAATTTTTTGCAGATAATAATATACGGAGCGACCAACACAGCGGGAATATGTAAAACCCAATCTTCTTTATCTTCTATACTCAAGGAATAACCCAATTGAAACATATAAGAACCGACCCAAAGGATGCTTCAATCAGTCATTCGAACATTGTGAAGATAGACAAACAAAACTAACCAACAAAATGCAAAAACTTGTAGTCTTTTTTGCTGCCAATTTGGCTTTGGCCTTAGCTTTCGTGTCCCCTTTGGATCACAGTGTTCCTGGAAGACAAATACCAATTCCGAAACCCACCGACGAGAAACCGTAAGCGAAAAGTAAATTTTATTTTTTCTTAATAATAGTTTTATATCTTTCTCTTTAGTAACAAATTCGACTGGGACGTCCGACAACCTGGAATCCTCGATCTGAAAACTACTGGTACTTTCTACGACGATGGGGGTTCACGTCTTGATGGTTCAGCCACCTATTCGAAAAATTTTGTCGACCATTCCCAGAACGTTGGTGCTGCTTTAAATTACCACGATTACAATTCAAGACTGGGTGCTGGGCTAAATGTGCAAGACTTGAATGGGGCCGGAACTAGAATTCAAGCAGACCTAACGAAGACACTTCTGAAAGATCAGCACAGTAATATCGAAGGTGGACTGCGATATGGACAAACCTTCAACACACCTTTCGGAAACAGCGAACCGTTTTTCGGGGGCTTTATCAGAGGAACATTTTAATTTTAGACAAACCTGAGTAGCAAAAGCTGCAGAACGTTGCTATTAATTTTTTTATTTAATTATTTATTTATTTAATTTTTTTTAAAACAAAAATTGTATCACTAATGAATAAATTCAACTTAAACTCATTTATAATTTTTTCCTTTCTTTAAAAACTGACAGTTTGGAAGTCTCCACTCAAACAACACATTTTGTATGAAAAATAAATGACTTCCTTTGAGTGAAACTTAGAAGGTCGTCCCTCCCCTACCGAACAATAACATTCCATCAAATAAAAATCCGTAAGCTTAATACAATTTGATCTTGCCTCCTCTATGACAAGCTCTCGACTTTCATCCCATTGTCCTCTTCCCGTTTTCCCCTTGGACCCCGTGATTAATTTCCAATTTACAATAATGCATAATTACTCGAAGCCTGGAAATAATACGTTCCATTAACTTCAAGAACGAGCAAGCAAATGAGCAATTTGCCGTCGAATAATCGAAATTGGTCTACCCTCTCAGAAAACGCGTTCTGTTATCAGCATAACAATAGGTCCTCCATACTGTTCGATATACAATTAACCGGCTAAGTAAATTAGACGTCGTTAGTTCCCGTCTCAAGAGGCAGTTTTTTACGCAAACACCGCCCCAATAGAATTATTTACCGATTAAAAGCCCACTCGAGCCGCCCATCCATCATCGTTTTAATGATGCCCCAACAAAGAAATTAAATTTTCCTCGGTGCGTATTGGCACTTCATCACATCATGTGTTCAATACATGGAGTAATTAAAGCACCTACACTCCACTTTAATTGGAACACCGGAAACGGTCGCGCTTCCACCTGGACGGAAAAAAATAACGACAACCGGAAACGGGTCAAGCACTCCTTTTGTTAATTGGAATTTCCGACAGAGAGCCAGAGGATCGAGAAAAATTGGTAATAACGGAATCAAATTTTAAAAGCAATAATCACAGCGGAAATAGCTACCGTGGACAAATGCAGCGCCTGAATTATTAAAAATCTAATATGCATATGGTGCTTCATTAAAATTTTAATTGGGATGGGAATTTCTGGCGCCGGGATTAGTTTGCCAGATTACCAGCTAATATAGCTATAAATAGCGAAATGCTAAAAACAAAACCCCTAAGAAACTGTTTAATTTAAGTGAACATTTGATAAAAATGGTGGAGGCGTCGGGCTTAAACAAGTTTTTAAAAGATTTTTTTTTAATTAATTATACTCATGATAATTATCAAGGTCAGAGTTCAAAAACCATATTGTATCCACTTTTTAACGCCAACCTCAAAACGTTCGTCCCCGCAGGACAAAAATAATTGAATAATTATGGTTTGACATTAACGAACGTTGACGGGATTGCGAGCTTTTATTGAACGCTGAAATTTACGATTTATAATTAATTAGTGACATTACGTTATTGAGGGAATCACTAATGTTACATTTGCGAGCAAAAGCTTTGCTCGCAAACGTGTGGATGCAAACGACATCGCACGCAATTATGTTTTGAGTAGATACATTCGCGACGTTAATCAAACGTAATCTGCCACTGAATGAATTAACAGTTAAATTAAACACGAAGGTATGGTCCAACTAATGAATTAGTGAAACGTGACTTTTACACCTACAAAAAAAATATATAAAAAAACACCGAATTTTGCGATTACGTCATCAATCTTTTGAAGAGTCGAACAAATTAGAAAGCAATAAGTAGGTGCGATCTTAACAAAATTTTATTTCCTTTCTTTGCGTTAAAATATTGACAACGTCACAATAAATTAGACTAGTTGCTACGTCCACAATAAAAACAATACAGTAGTTAATACATAATAATTGGTCGCAACTTTATGATACTTGTTGAGATTACGAACAAATTGATCCCAAGCCCCCATGACTAGAAATTTTCACAGGTCCTGAATAAAACAATGAGCAGTCTTTCCTCTAGTTTGAACGTTACAAAAATCTAAGTATCAACTGGTAACAATATCTATAAAACTTTCTCTTATAATTAAAATTAGGCGACAACAGCTAAAGGCGCTTTTTTATCACTGTCCTTGGTCATGCAGACGTCGAATATAACGACGTCCCCTTCGATATAAATGGTATCAATATCGTCAACACCCCCTCTAAATTTGAATTCTCCAGCTAGTTTACCGTCTATCCAAACAGAAAAATGATCGCTCTCTCTTCGTATTGCCATGATGAAAGGTGAGCCCGGCTTAAATTGGAATCCAGGAGTGCGCTCTTCTTGACCCCATCCGTTGTCAATCCAAGCGTTCCTTACGAACAACGGCTCTCCAGAATCCAGACCTGGAATGTAAGAGGAAACAGGTGAGACTCTCGAGATTCCGATAAGATCGTTGTCAAAGGATTGGAAATTGCTGGAATAATATCCAAGGTATGAATGACCAAGTGGAAAAATGCGTCACACCGCAATGCTGCAAAATGTCTTTCAACCCATTTCTAACCTAACCAAATTTCGAAAGCTAATCATACAATAACACATAATTTCCGAAACAAGTAATTACAGCCCCAGTCGTGCATGCATAAACACACCCCGCGCCGCCCTAATTACAATCTTCCTCTTCCTTAACGACACCGTTTCCCCGATTGTCGCTATTGAAAAGCCTTGTTTGCGTCGCCAGAATGGGATAGCGAGGGACTCTTTCGAACTCGGCCCTCGACAAATTCGCACCGTTTCACCAAGATGTAACTATGAAAAATTAAGCAAATTAGTAGGGTCCTGTTGTTCCCCTTTATCCAATTAAATAAATCACGTTATAACGCTGTTACATTGCGAGTTGTTTGGGCTTTGTACCAAATTAAATCAATTAATAATGCATCGCAACACACTACACTGATGGGTAGGTCGTCTAATTAGTGCCCGAGCGAATCGGATGAACTGAAGCCGGGAGGGATGCTTTTTTGCCGGAGGGGCGGTTTCGCTTTGGTCCGTGCTGACGAGCGGATTTGCTCCAGGAAATATTGCAAATTCAATTGCTGCAGTCCAGGCGATTTTTTAAATGTTTAAAGACAAAGGAGGAGTTCGGGAGGATTTTGTTGTGGTGTCAGAGGTATCACATGAATGTTTTCTTTTTGTTAATAACGTGGGGCAAATAAATGTATTGCAGGGGTGTTGGTCCACCATTTTTCGATTTTTATATATTTAATACATACGTTATATTTCATATATAATACACACGAACAAGCCAAAAGTGCAAAGTTTCACAATTTGAAAAAATACAGCGAAGACAAGTACAAATTTGTGATTTTGAGAAAGTTTCAGATCTAATAGACTCCTTTTTAGAACGATTTGGCGAATTTTGATTTTTTTAATAAAAATTGTGGAAGCGCCGGAATAGGTAAGTTTTAAAAATTGTTTGTTGTAAAGAATCGTGCATACCTATATTTATATATTTTAGAAGAAATTTTGTATTTATTTCAATATCTTGATACCTTAACAAAATAACTGTATGGGCCGACTTGAACCAAAATAGACGAAGAATTTAGAAATTTGTATCTATCTTGTGGTGTCGAATTTGAATCAAATTTTCGCGCTGAAATTAATTAACAGCGGCGGGAAATCACATATTAATAATTTTAATTTGAAAAAAAATTTCAATCAAAAAATCATTAAACATCGGCAACCATGTGCACGTTAGCGCTAGGGGACTTTAGTTAGTCTGCTTGGTTGAAGAGAGCGGCATGTTGAAAGCGGGAGTCAAACGGTTCGGTGACGTGCGACCTTTTAATCGGAAAAAGTGCGGACTTTCGTCCAACGCGGACCACGTGGTGTAAATTTGTGTTAATGTTTGTAAATTCACCGATCAGGTTAGTTTTTTTAATCGTCAACTAGTGATAACACAAGTTCATTTACGGCAGTTAAATTACTAATTCCTACCGTGAACTGGCGGGGCTTAAAATAATTTCTTCCCTTGGGCAGTTATCATCGTTATTATCATCGTTATCATCATTACATCACTGAGGCATGTCCTCACAACGCTAAAGATTGATTACATCACTGAGGCATGTTCTCGCAACGTTAAAATTTACATCATCGAGGCATTTCCTCGTAACGCTAAAATTTACATTGCCGAGACGCTTTTTCCTCGCAACGATGACTGGTTATTTTTGTGTTTATTTATTATGTGTTTTCATACAATATTTCTCTATCTCACAATCTTAACCTCAGTCATTTTCTTTGTCGTATAATTTTAACTGAACGTAAATTTTAATTTTGGAGAAAAAAAAAATGTTTGCATATCACAATATCTTTTTGAAGAAATGTTTTTCTTTCTATATCTCGATACCTAAATAAAATAAGAAAGTCCGTGCTCGACTTGAAGCAGGATAAACGGCTCTTTTGAGAAGGTTTTAGAATTTTGAATTTTTCTCAATAAAACAATTTCTCCTATTCGAAGAAACACAACGAAATGAAGAACCAATTCGTTTAGATCAAATCGACCCCTTGGTAGAAGGATTTGGGCAGTTGTAATTAGTATTATTATTATTTTTTAATAAAACTTGTGAAAATTCCAGGATATTTATAAATTTTAAAACTAAAAAAATAATAGGACTTTCTTTAAAATGGTATCTGAAATTTTAATTTTTTGCATAAAAATAAAATTCTCTGTTGTTTGAAGAAATAGAGCCAAAATAAGGAAAAATTCGTGTTTCTGAGAAAATTCTCGATCAAGTAGACCACTTTTTAAAACGATTTGAACAATTTTTATTTTTGGATAAAAATGGTGGAGGCGCCGGGATAATTAAAATTTTTAAAATTATTTATTTTGAAATTTTCTAAAAATCTTTGCAAACTACAATGTATTTTTGCAAAAATTTTGTATCTCTTTTAATATCTCGACACCTAAACAAAATAACAAAGTATGTGCTCGACTTGAACCAGGATAAACGGCTTCTCTTTTGGAAAGGTTTTGGAAATTTGAATTTTTCTCAATAAAATAATTTCTCCACTATTTGACGAAATTCAACAAAATAAAGAACCAATTCTTGTTTCTGAGAAAATTTCCAATCAAATGGACCTTGTGTCGGAAAGATTTGTGCAATTTTAATTTTTTTGGTGCTAAAAGGTGGATGAGCCGAAATAATTAAAAATTTAACTACTGTTTTCTCTAAAGTTTTTGCCAAGATTCTGACATACCACGATATATGTTTTAGAAGGAATTTTGTGTTTCTTTTAATAGTTTGATACCTGAATAAAATAACAAAGTATGGGCCGGACTTGAACAAGAATAAACATCTTCTTTTGGAAAGATTTTGAAAATTTTGTATTTATCTTAATCAAACCATGTCCCCATTATTTGGAGAAATACAACAAAATCAAGAACCAATTCGCGTTTCTGAGAAAATTCTCGATCAAATAGACCCCTTTTTAAAACGATTTGGGCAATTTTGAATTTTGGATAAAATGGTGGAGACGCCGGGATAATTAAAATTTTAAAAAACATTTATTTTGAAATTTTTTAAAAATGTTTGCAAACCGCAATATATTTTTGCAAAAATTTTGTATCTCTTTTAATATCTCGATACCTAAATTCTTTTGGGAAGGTTTTGGAAATTTGAATTTTTCTCAATATTTCACCACGATTTGAAGAAATATAACGAAATCAAGAAACAATTCGTCTATCTGAGAAAATTCACAATCAAATAAACCTTGTTTCGGAAAGATTTTGGCAATTTTGATTTTTTTTTTTTGCAAAATGGTGGATGCGCCGGGATAATTAAAAGTTTAACGATTATTTTTTCTAAAACTTTTTAAAAGATTCTGTATTTGTTTAGATATCTTGATTCTTAAACAAAATAACAACGTATGGTCCGACTTGAACGAAAATAAACCAGTTGTTTTGGGAAGATATTAGAAATTTGTATTTATCTCAGTGAAACAGTGGCTCCATTATTTGAAGAAATGCAACAAAATCGAGAACGAATTCGTGTTACTGAGAAAATTCCCGACCCCTTTTTTAAACGATTTGGGCAATTTTGATTTTTGGATAAAACTGATACAGGCGTCAGGATAATTGAAAAACTATAATTTCTTCAATATTTTGATACCTAAACAAAAAAAAGTATATGTCGAGTTGAACCTTTTTTCGGAATGATTTTAACTTAACTAACTCTAACTCTAACTTGTACTTTTTTTTTTTAATTGGGACCATTACTTAAAATTTATGATAATTTCCAAAAAGGTTCGTATATGTTAGAAAAAATCAGATATTCTTTTAGCAACTTGAACTTTCCCTGTGAAAGTGCTTCAGGGTCGGCACATCGCCATTCTGCACCCATTTTAAAAATGCAACACAATGTACGTTGAATAATCCCTGAACAAACAAAAAGCGAAATTTTAAATTTGTAACACTCACAAACAATAAAACTTATTTAAATTCGTAAAATTTAATAAATTTAACGTAAACAATTCGACATCAAGCTACGAAAAAATTACACTTTAAAAAAAACTGGTTGTTGAAAAAACACCTCGCTATATACCAAAAATTCGAAGCTTCCATAAAATATGTACATTTCGCCAAAAATAGATCGCTGAAATGAATTCGATGCAACGCACAGAAATTCCATAAAACACTTCCATTCATATTTCTCCGTAATCCCCTGCATCCACCCCATCAATATTATAAATGATATGTACTTACCAAACCGTGGATTCAAATGCAACGGTATTTTCGGACGCGGCCAGCGCTGCGAGCCCCCTTGCAGATTAACGTAGAACGAATGGGGTAGAATTTTTACCCTGCCGTAAATTTCTAATTGGCAGTTTCGCTGAAAACCCTCCAGCAGTAAAAACGTAACCGGAGTATCCTGTAAAGCACGTAAAAGCGCCTAAAAATCGTGTAAAATTTCATTATATTTCATCGAGGTTAGATTTTTACGTCAATATTAGAGGGTTATTTCCGAGGGTATAATCTATCGGTTAGATGTACAAGGCAAATATTGAGAAATTATCCCGGTTCGAGAGCTAATTAAAAGTTGGGATGGATGGGCTTGTCAGAGTGTAAACGTACTCAGGTAAGTACGGAAATTATGGAGGGTGGAAACCGAACTCGTTTGCTGTAATTAGCATTAATTATTATTGTGTCAAGTGAAGCTTTAATGGTGCTGGCAAACATCCGACAAAAGGAAAATTCCTGGGGCCCTAAATACCCTACTATGCATGTGGCATTTGCTACAAGGAACACGAACCCGGTCTTTCATTTAAAAATGCATTTGAATTCAAAGCAACTAAGTACTTACAACTCAAGATCGATTTTTTAAACTCATTTTTGACTCTCGTTGCTCTCATCGCCGCTGAATGAATTTTTAGCGGAATGTCAAGACGGCGGATTTTCCCTCTTCTCCCCATAAGAGATCGTGTTTTTGTTGTATTGATCGTCGGTGAGGGATGTAATTGGCAATTAGTGCTAACTCCATGTGGGGAGTTGGATAAATACAACAAAGTGTAGTAAGAATAGGAAGAAGTGGACCCGGAAATCATCACCGCCCGGATCAAACCGCGATAATAAAACAAACTTTTTATGTCTCCAATAAAACAAATTGGCTGTTTACAAAGATAGCTCATTACCATGCCAGTTTTGAGGCCACTGTCGGTGTTTTCTTTGGATCCCTCGACGATTCTTGCCTCAGGAGTGTGCTTGCCAATTTCGGGATACTTTTCCAGGGACTTGTATTCTACATTCACCACGTCGACTTCGCCCTGAATAGAAATATGCGCAAATTAACCGCTATCTATCTCAATAAAATGAAAGGGTCGAGGAACTGTCTACTTTAAGCATTTACATTCAACAATGTCGACATGGCGGGAATTACACAGCCTAATTGAATCACCACATAGTAAAAAATGAACCAGAAGCCCCGCTACATTATTTTCGAAATTATCAAGCTACCTGGACTTCAATCCGGGTGATCTTCTCCCAAGGCACTCTGAACGCATAACTGCACACGTGTATCCCGTCCACGGAGACCAGAAACTCCTTCTCGCAAACCAGGATGCTCAACAGGAAGTTGGTGTTAGTTCTCGAGAAGGGGAACTTCACCGTGGACGTTTTTTCCTCGATTCCCCAATGTCCGTTTAAACGAGTGTTTCTCACCACGTAGCGTTGAAGAAGGCGCGGATTCAGATGGAAGGCCACGTCCGAGTTGGGACTTCTTCCGCATGTTAAGTTCACCGCGAATCTACAAAAGGAAACGATACGTCATTAGATTAGGCCGTTTTTACTGCGTGTCGGTTTTTCCGCTTTTTGGTGGTCGGAACAATGGCGGAAAAACGGCGATCAGCGCCAGCACAAGACTCCATAAATCAGTTCCAAGTAATTAATTGTAAAGGAAACAGGCTGCAATGTCCCAGTCGGCATCCATCAACGGCCATTTGTCACGTTATGTCAATGGGCCGTGGGATGACACGGACCGGCAGAGATGCAGCGGTGTTGGGGATGGCGAGAGTGAAATATTGGATGAGGAAGATGAGGCAGGTTCGAGGTGTTAAAAGTGATGCACTAAGCACATTTTTGAATAATGGGTTTATCGGAAAGTGTTGATGACTTAATAAACACAACAAAAACGGTTGATAAATTAGTACAACACTAAGCCTGTAAAGACAAAGCCTATCGGAGGCGAGGATCTCACAAATGTTAGTTGTCATTTAAGACAGCTGCTTGTGCTTACGAATGCAAAGTAGAATATCGTTAGTTTAAAACGCTTTTGTAACAAAAATTTGATTATTTATCTTGAGGATTATTCGAAATACATTCATATATTAATATTATGTAGAGTAACTACGTTGTGTTTTGCCGGTAATCCTACTCCTGTTATTCGATTAAATTTGCATTTCATACTCCTATTGCATTACAGTTACGTAATAAATATGAAAGCCAGTGTGTGCGCATATGCTGCACAACAAATTAAAAAAAAAAATTTATAGCGGAAATTTCTTTGTGACTATTGATTGTCAAAGTGGCATTTGTGTCAGCTGTGCTCATGTCAAAATTGTCAACTGAACTTTTTTCACCATTTTTCGGTAATGGTGTTAATATAAATCTGCGTTCCTTATAAACAGCCAATTTGTTTACACTAGTAGTAGTAGTAGAATTAAATTTAACTCGGAAGCTGATTTCATTGAATATAAAAATTATAGCCAACCGTAAATCAGCGAATTATTGGACAGGAAATTCTTGATCAAAAACCTCGATGTATCAACCGTTTGACAAAATGCCAAAACATTTCCCAACAAAATTAGCATCATTAAAACTTAACGCTGTGTCAGACCGATTCAATGGAAATTCGCACTAGTCGCCACGAGCGTTGCTTGTTGATTCATTAACAAGTAACGAATTTTTTGTAAATCAAAAAAGTCTCTTTAATTAGTACGTTTACCAAAACCTAAACGACTCCATTATTTGCAAATGTTTCGGCACAGTTTTATAATTTGCTCTTCCCAAACTAAATACACATGAACGATTTTAGTGTCATCGACCTAATAACTTCTCCAACTGTGCAGATTAATGCAGTTTACTGGTCGTTTGGATTAAATTCAAAATATACAAAATAAATGCTGCAGGAATTTCAGATTTATTTCAGGTTTTAAATCGTGTAATAACTTTTCAGTTATGTAATACTTTTTCAGTTTGTCTACATACTTAAGCGTATTTGTTTATGGAATGCACATTACTTAAAGGTTAAGTGCAGTAGCCTTGGTTACGCCTTACCAATTGTTTGCTTATCAATCATATAAACTACTACCTAAACTAAACCGAATAAGGTAAAAATTACCCAGTCAAGACATTAGTGTTAGCCTTAAAGTTAGATTTAATTACCTAATACCATTTAAGCTGTACTTTTAACGATTCACCCACATGGAAATCGACACGAGCAATTAATAGACATAGTTTCAAGGTTTCCAAGAAATTTAATAATTTACACGTCAAGCAACAACAATTCATTGCAGCAAAATGAAATAATCCACCTTTGTTTTCTTTTTGGAGTAGTTTGAAAGAATCTCGACTCCCGTGATCTTCGTCCAACAAGGTTGGAAAGAAAAATGAAGAGCCTCAATATAAAAGTTGTTTTTGTATCTCAAAAAAAAGGTTGTCAATTTGTTGATGTATTAGTGTGTGTAACACTTACTATAATGTAACGAGTTGGTCCTATTCCCCCTGTTCTCTCAGGTTTTCAAGGCAAAAAATTAACATGTGAAAATTAAGACCACTTTTCTGAATAATATAATCAGCTTTGAGACTGTGTAAGCGCTCATTCACAATGGGCATAAAGCATAAGTGCTTATTCACAATGGGCATAAAGCATAAGAATGTCCTAAGCATTAATACATAAAAGTGCTCTACGGTTGTATTCGTTCACAATGAGCATAAGTGCTCATTCACAATGGGCATATAGCATAGAGATGTCCTAAGCATTATGCTCATTGTGAACGAAAACAAGCATAGAGCACTAAAGATAAATTCTTATGCATTAATGCTTGTGATATCCTTATGCTTTATGCCCATTGTGAATGACCACTAAGAATGTCCTAAGCATTAATGCATAAAAATTTATGTTTAGTGCTCTATGCTTGTATTCGTTCACAATGAGCATAATGCTTAGGACATCCTTATGCTTTATGCCCACTGTGAATGAGCACTAAGATTTTGTGGGTATTTGTGTCTGAATTACTATTTTGTGATATCCTTATACTTTATGCCCATTGTGATTGTGAATGAGCACTAAGAATGTCCTAAGCATTAATACATAAAAATGTATGTTTAGTGCTCTATGGTTGTGTTCGTTCACAATGCGCATAATGCTTATGACAACCTTATGATTTATGCCCATTGTGAATGAGCACTAAGATTTTGTGGGTATTTGGTCTGAATTACTATTTTCTCTATTTCTAATTATTATTATCACTTGCAAATGTTTTCCGACTGCGAACATCTAACTTTTCTTTCAAATATAATTCCCATCTTTCTATATGCGATGTACTTTCACTCATGACCCCCAAGCTGATAAAAATTGCTATTCTAAAACAATGATAAGCTGCCAACACAGGATGACATCACAATCTCTCTGTTTAAATTTAATTCGCTAAAAACAATCTATTACCAGTAAGCCACCCACAAAAGGATGATGTAAATGAAATTCCATTCAAAATAAATACAAAGTTTAAATTAAACCGGAAATTTGTAAAACGAAACAACGAAATAATTTCAGGCTCGCTGGTATTATTTAAGTATTATTTTAACTGTGGTTTCGCCCACGCAAAAAATTACTATGATGTTGACTTTCGCTTTATTCTGTGGTATACAATGACTGTGTACTTATCTCTTGATTGCAATGTGTTTTTCTCTTGCCTAACCTTAATTAGCAGTGACGTACTTCCTAGAAGGTGTACCTCCTCAATACAAAGCAAGTGACACTTCTGAGAAAAGTCATGTTATTAGTCATCCTGATCGCTCTGAAACCAATCGCAATGATGCCTCAAGTGATAACACCAATCGGTGTTTCCTTCACACGTGGTGGGGGTCACGCACCTATCGCCACATCCCGAAACTTTTTGTGGCATTTCCGGCACCCAATCGCCGTGGCCCCACGTGCCACTTTCCCAAAAATACTGCATTGTTTACACGGCGTTATTATCTGGCAAACCACGTATGTTTGTTGACATCGCCAAGGTTACGCACACGAATTAGAATAATCTCATCAAAACTAAATTTAATTTGGAACACAAACCTTGAGCATTTGGGCAACACAGTCCCGGTGACACAGATCGCTTTTCCAATGCTTAAGTCTGCGGGCAGGTCGGCCGAGAAAGGCACTTTCTGTCGAACACAATAAGAGATGTCATTTTCTATCTGCATTATGCTAATGGGGAGGTCACTAAGCAAATATCACAGAGTGAGTGTGAGCTAGATAACGGTGGCATAACGCTGGTGACCCAACAAAGCCGACACGCATCCATTTGGCACTTTCTACCTGGCTTTGTGTCGGCTCGACCCAACATATGGCGGGCATGGGCGTAGGTATCGATTTTGGTGGGGTCAACCCTGCAGCAAAAGTTTCTAAAATCAAATTTACCGCCACTGCAGGCGCCGCCTCGGTGCTGTTAAGAGCGGTCGCTACCGCCTCCGGTTCTTCGCGCTCTCGGGGGATGCAGCAGCAGCAGAACACTTGTTTTTTGGGGGCAGGGGCGGGCTCGGACATTTTTCATGCCGCTCGCGGTGAATGCGCGCTCTGTACTGAATGGATATAAATAAATACAGCTCGATAGTTCCATGGGTGGCTATGGGTGAGTAATGGGGCGGCGGTCGCCGGTAAAGACGACGTGATAAGAATGGCGGAACGCCACTAAGCGGACTTTTAATTGTTCCTGACCTGGTTAAGTGAGCTGCGTCACGCGCACGATCACGGCTAAAAATAAGAGTTAACAGGTGGGGCTGGCTTATGTTTGCACTTTTATTTTTAAATAAACATTTTACATAGTAAATGGAAAATTACGTTTACATAACAAGTTCCTTAAAATATTTTAAATCCATTCATAAGGCAATCAGCAGGTCACCATCAGATTCAAACAATACTCCTCGTTCAGGAATGGATGCAATAACACTACGACTACGAATTAACATTAAATTTGATTTGGTGTTCACTTCTTTAAGAGTTATATAAAATAATACGTACTCAGTAAATACATAACAGTACTATAAGTAACAAAATTTTAAAATTATCTTAAAAGTGGTGGTTAAATAAAACTGTGTGGTAACTATTATAAATTATCTGAACTTAAAATAATACTCGAGCCGAGGCTCACCGATTCGACAACAAATTTCGAATACTGACCCAAAAACTACAATTTCTTCTTCAAACAAACAATAAATAAATACAACAATTTTGTACTATGTTAAAAATTTACAACTTCAACATTAAAATAGGTACATATGTACAAAGCCTACTGCCTTTGGACGTTCTTGAAGAACCATTCCGTAAATTTACGCAGCTGCTGCACCGCACTTTGTGCTTGGTCCTTCAGTTTCTTATTCTCCTCCTTCAGCCTTCTCACTTCGTTCTCCAGCGACAGCCGTCTCCGCGTCTCCCGCTTCAGGCTCGACTCCAAATCAGTCACGTGGTTCTGAAGCTCGGGCACGCTCGTGCTAGAACTCACCCTGGAAAACCACAACATTCCATTGTGAACATTTCGCGATTTTAATTTTTACAGAAAGATTTTTATCACACTGAAACCGCCACCAATAAAGCAACAATCGCGCTTTTCCATTTTCCAACACATCCAATCCCAAACGACTAACTTTATTGCTCCAGCTTTAACGCCCCGACTTTACACCCTACTAAAATCACTCACTTTTGTTGCAGCTTTACGATTACCTCGACAATGCTTGCAAGCCCGGTCCACACAGCGGAATTTTAGTTCATTCAGTCAATACTTACGACGACGTTATCGACGCGTCTATGGGCGCCTCCTCCTCCCACATTTTGTTTTCTTCGCGTTTGTAGCTGTCGGAAGCCACCTGCATGAGCACCCGGGTGGCGGTGTCAACGAGGGTCGGCCAGTCATCGGGAACGGGGAATTCTTCTAGGGAAACTACAGATTTGGTTTTGGTAGGGCTGGTGAGCTCGTCCTTGGAACTTTTAAATTCGGAGGGTAGAGGGCTGGATGTCGTACTCGCGTTAGAGATCACGGTGGCGGGTCGCGCCAGGGTTAGTATCACTTCGGGCTGGGTTTTGTGCACGGAGAGAGTGTTGTTTAGGTTTTCTCTACAAACGGATGGGTTTTAGATGCAACACCTACAAGTGGCGCAGTAGGTAGGAATCGAATGCGTTGTTCGAATGCAGCTTGAACTCGGTTGATTACTAGTGGTAGTAAATAAGAGTCGGATTTAACACGTTCGTGGTTTGTTGGTTTTTGAAACACGAGCCCGAAAATCCGTTTTATTTTGGCTTTAAATTACTCCAATGCGGCCAAAGCAAACATCTACTCTTCAATATTTGGAAAATAATCAATCAAGTAAATCATAATAAATACGCGGAGCTATCTATAATTAAACAAAAATAATCACGTCAAGCGTCTAACGTGTAGGAAGAAATAACTTTTATTTTTTCAGAACAGTTAGCGTTTATTTTAAAACGTTACAAATGTCTGTCTAACTACCATAAATATAATACTGAAAAATTCCTACGTTTCACTATCCAAATCCCTTCACGACAACCTGAAACAAACATACGCCACATGCCGAATAACGCATTTCACTTCCTGCCCTTAAGGTTGAACCACCTCTCTTAACATTTACGTTACTATGATAACACGGAAATGGGAGGTTCACCCCTAAGCAAACCAACCCGTCCTTACCTGGAATGACTATTCGTTTCTTTTGGCAACTTCGGCTCAGCAGAAGCCTCAATACTGTCAGGGTTGATCAACCTCAACAACTCCTCTTGAAAATTGCTCGACGACAAATTCGCGCTGTTCCGATTGGAGGACCTCGCGGTCACCCCCGGTCTCAACTTCGCCTCGCCGTTCACCGACCTCGGACTGTGATTTCTGCTGTTGCTGTTCGTCAGATGCTTTGCCCTACGACTCCTCGGCGACACGTTCCCGCTCCCGTTCGACAGCTCATCCTCGCTCCCTAACCCATATAACCTCTCGCTGATCGAACTATCCGTCGAATGGCTGTCGTTCATATTCATCCTCCCGAAGTCGCTATTCAACTGCCTCGTCATCATGTAATCCGACTCCTGTCTTTGTTGCTTCGCTAAACCAACAAAATCATTACAATCCCGTCGCTCGTACGCGGCCAAACTCACCAAAACCCTCTCCGCATCCCATATTGTTCTTCTCTAATTTGTATGCGAGCTCGTAGTCGTTCGTGCTGCTATGCACCACAGCCGTCATCGGCTGCGAGTAATTGACATGTTGCAGAGGTAACGAATGGCTGATTTGTACTTTGTTGTGATGTATCGGCTGCGGCCCGAAGTGGTTGTGCGACTGCGAGACCTGCAGCTGTGTCATTTGATTGTTGCGCTTTGGTGTCGAGGGAAACGTGTTGTTGGACCTGGACGGCGTCTTCTGCGGCACCGGCGGCGGCTCGAGCTCCTGCAGCACGTCGTACCACTTGTCGTCGCTCGAGTGGCCGCTCGACGAGCTCGTCATCGTCCCCTCGGGGTTCACGGCGAGCCCGTGAAACGACTTGCTGCTGCTGCCGGTGCCGTAGCCCGAGCTGTTGCTCGAGCGCGGCGGCGAGAAGCTCCGCTCGTAGACCCGGCGGTGGTTGCCGGGGACGGCCTGCTGCATCTGCGGCGCTTTGCGAGATTTGGCGTCTTCAGTCCCTAAGTTTTCGTAGTCCCCCTCGTAATTGCCTGCGTGAGAGTGTCGGTAACACAAATGGCGCAGTCGGTGGGATCTTACCTTCGTTATATTTACAGTTTTGGAGCGTGCAGCCCTTGCGCGGAGACCCGTCAGCCAAAGGAGGTATCACAGTCAAAGTAACAAGAATTGAGGTTTTCAGTAGATCGACCATCTGGTCGTACGTCAAGGTAGATACCGCGACTTTGCAGATCTCGACAAGGCGCGAGTTCTGGCGCAGACCTCCGTGCCACGCCTCGCCCGCGCTCTCCACCAAAGTCACGATACCGTCGGGTTGCACGTGGAACCCCAGCTGCCCCATTATATTCCGCTTCAGAGGTAACTCCTTGGCGAGAACTCCCTGAGTCACCGCTTTCAAGCGGTCCATGATCTCGACCAACTCGTCGCGATCCCCGTGGCTGTCCCTCATGTACATAGTCATACACTCGCCTTGATGGTGATAAATCCGCAACCCGTTGGACTGGGTGGACCACCCCAGGATCGACTTACACGGTGTCACGAAGACGATCTGTTTTGAAGTCTCCTCGATCAAAACGAGCGTGTCGGTGGAGATCCCCAAAAAGCATTCGATTTGTTGAGATTGCCCGCTATCGTCTAGCAACACTTGCCACAAAATAGCGCCTCTTTGGCACGCGTCCGGAATAAACCTAGGACGAATCTTGTCCTTCTTTTTGCTGCTGAAAATCGAGAACTTCTGGTGGGTGTCCACTGGAGTGGACGTGGAGTTATTGATTACTAACTCCTTCAAGTACTCCTGTCTGGTGCGGGTCGCCATTGTAACGAACTTCTCTGACCTATGAGCGGCGTTTTCGGCATTGACGACTTTAGCCAGAAGGAACTCTGCAAAGGCTTTGCCTTTAGGGAAGATGGCGCCATCCTTGATTGGTGGCCCAAATACTTCCACTTCTTTGGAACGGCTTACGGCTACCTTGTAGTGGGTGTTTTCGGTGCACGGGTTGATAGCCTGGACTACAATAAACACGTGCTGGAATTGAGATCGTATACCCTTTGGAGTGAACGGCAAAGCACCGGGTTCTTGAAACACGATTGTAACAATATCGTTGCCGATGTGGCGCTTCCGTAACAACTGTTGGCGATTATTCGGTGTAAAAGGCAACATAGTAGACACGTGGAACATGATCTCGCAATCCTGATACTGTGAATACACCGAGTAGAGTCCCGTCGAGTCAGCTGCAACCAAACAAAATTTAACCTTCTATTCCCGTCGTACCCAACTATCCATACATACATTTATTATCCAATCCTGCTCTATACTTGGAAAACCCCTTCAACCTAACCTTCTTTCCAATAGTTTCCAAAAATTCCACGAACGCCGGACCCGCTTCCTCGTTATTGTACATCTCTTCTTCCGAAGACTGACTCGCTTTGCAGTACATCACCCCGACTTTGTAGTGGTTGTTCAATCCTTGCTCGTCGAGTTTTAAAAGCTGCTCTTCGGTTTGTTGATTCTGGATCCCCAGTTTCAACGAACTCAGTTGAACTTCGGGGGCGACGTATTCGAGGACTTCTTTGACGTTTAGAGTTTTGGGGTTGCTGGACGCTTTGATACTTGGAATAGCGTCTTCGAGGATGGCACCCCGGAATGTTTGTAGCTCGGAGGTGCGGATGACCAGACGGTACTGATACTGCATCAAGGTTGAAGAAGAGAGCTGGTTGTCCGGATGGATGACTTTTTCACGCCTTATGGAAATGGCTACAGGACCGAGCTGCTCGTCCATGCCGAACCAGTTTTGGTGTTCTGGGGAAAAAGATCGTGCAATTGAAATATCAAAAAATCGAAAAATGAAAATGTCAAAATTGAAATTTGAAAAATTGAGACATCGAAAATTCGAAAAATCCGGAAACTAAAAATTCGAAAAATTGAAAAATCTATAAATCGAAACATCAAAAAATCTAAAATTGAAAAATGTCAAAACTGAACTATCGAGAGAAAAATCAAAAGCCTGAACAATCGAAAAATTGAAGATTTGGAAAACTCAAAAAACATTGAAACGTCGAAAAATTTAAAATCGAAAAAATTAAGTCGAAAAATGAAAAAATCATGAAACCGAAAATTCGAAGAATCAAAAAAATATATAAATCTCAACGTCAAAATATCGAAAAATAAAAAAATCGGGAAATCGAAAACTCCAAAAATTGGAAAATCGAAAAATTGTTATATCTAAAATTTTTATTTTTTTTTCTCAAAAATCTTATGTTGAGTACAAAAATTTAACAATTTAAGATTCATAAATTACAAGATCAAGATTTTCTTACCTTTTAACACTTAAATAACATTTATTCGACAAAATTGTATATGATAATTGAAGAATGTAAAAACTGAAAAATCGAAAAATCAAAACCCGAAAACTAGAAAGACTGAAAATTCGAGTTTCGAAAATCGAAATTTGGAAAAAACAAAAAAAAACGAAAAATAAAGAAACTGAAACTTCGAATATCGAAAAATCGAAAAGTAAAAAATTGGAAAGCCCAAAGCCTGAAGAATGAAAGACTCGAAAATTCAAAAAATCTAAAATTCGAAAATTTGGAAAATCAAAAAAGTGAAAAATTGAAAAATCGAGAAATCGAAAAGGAAACAAATCGAAAATTCGGATATCAAAAAATCAAAAATTCGATTAATCAAATACATATTCGAAAAAACGAAAATCCCAGAGAAATTAGAAAACCTAAAATTTGAAAATTCAAAAATCGAAAATTCTAAAATCGAAAAATGGAAAATTCGAATATTTGAAATTTCGAAAATCGAAAATGAAAAATCAAAGGGCTGAAAATTCGAAAAATAGAAAAATCGGAAAACCGATAAATCGAGAAATCCGAACATCGAAAAATCGAAATATCAAAAGATCGAGACATCAAGAAATTGAAAATACGAGAAGTCGAAAAATCGATGAACCATCAATCTCAAATTAAAATATCGAAAAATTGAAAAATCCAGAAATGGAAAAACTTCTAGTATTGAAAAATTGCGAAATCGAAAACTCGAAAAATTGAGAAATCGAAAAATTTTAAACATTGAAAAACCGAAAAGTCGAGAAACTGGAGAAATCAGAAAATTAAAATATGTATAAAAAATTGTCAAATCGAAAAATTGGAAAGTCGAAAATTGTACAATTTAAAAAAACGAAAAATTGAAAAATCGAAAAACTAAATAAAAAAATGCAGAAATGCAAAAATATAAAATTTAAAAAATTGAAAAATCGAGAAATTGAAAATGGAAAAATCGAAAAAAAAATAAAAAACCTGAAAAATTCAAAAAAAAAACAAAAACCTGAAAAATCGAAAAACTGATGAATTGTAAAATTGAAAAAATATTGAAAAGTCAAAAAATCGAGGAATGGAGAAATCGATTAATCGAGAAATTGAGAAACCGGAAATTGGAAAATTTCGATACGTTAAAAATCAAAAAAATTAATTGAAAATTCCAAAAATTTTAAAATTGAAAAAATTAAAAATCGAAAAATTGAAAAATCGTAAAACTGAAACATCGAAAAATTAAGAAATCAGGAAGAATCAAGAAAATGAAAAATCTCGAAGTCGAAATATTGAAAAATTGTTATATATCTACAATTTTGATTTTTTCCCCAAAAATTAACACGGATTCATAAACCACAAGTTCAGGATCATTTTAATTTTTAACGTTTAAATAACATTTATTCAACAACATTCACATCTACTGTACTTACGATAACCTTTGAAGAATGTAAAAATCAATTGAAGAATGTAAAAAGTGAAAAGTCGAAAAATCAAAAATCGAAAACTAGAAAGATTGAAAACTCGAATTTCGAAATCAAAAAAATGAAAAGTAAAAAAACTGAAAATTGGAATATCGATAAACCGAAAAGTAAAAATTGGAAAGTCTAAAAACTGAAGAATGGAAGACTCGAAAATTTGGAAATTCAAAGGATTGAAAAATCGAGAAATCGGAACGGAAACAAGTCGAAAATCCGAATATAAAAAATCGAAAATTCGATAAATCAAATACATATTCGAAAAAACGAAAATCCGAGAAATGAGAAAACCTAAAATTTGAAAATTCAAAAAACGAAATTTCGGAAAATCCAAGAATCGAAATACAGAAAAAACGAAATATCGAAATTCGAAAAATCGAAAATTCTAAAATCGAAAAATGGAAAAATCGAAAATTGAAATTTCGAAAATAGAAACTTTGAAAAATCGAAAAGCCGAAAATTCAAAAAATAAAAAAATTGAAAAACAAGAAATTGAACCAAAAATCTAAAATTAAAATATCGAAAAATTGAAAAATTCCCAAAATAGAAGTATTGTTGAGAAATCGAAAAATCGAAAATCGAGAAATAGAAAAATTCGAAACATTGAAAAATTGAAAAATAAATATGTAATAAAAAAAAACGAGAAATTTCAAAACTGAAACATCGAAAGGAATCAAAAAATTGAAAAATCGAGAAACCGAAAATGGAAAAATCGAAAATATAAAAAATCAAAAACCTGAAAAATGGAAAAATTGAATTGGAAAATTGAAAAAAACACTGATGGGGAAATTGATTGATCGAAAAACTGAGAAATCGAAAACTGAAAAATTTTGAAACGTCAAAGATCAATCAAAAAATTGAAGAATTGAAAAATCCAAAAATTTTAAAATGGAAAAAATGAATCGAAAAATTTAAAAATCGTAAAACTGAAACACGAAAAATTGAGAAACCAAAAAATGAAAAAATTAAGAAATCGAAAATTTGAAGAATCAAGAAAATTAAAACTCTCCAATGTCAAAATATCGAAAAATTGAAAATCGAGAAATCTTTGAAAGCGAAAATTTGGAAAATTGGTATAACGACAATTGTAATTTTTTTCCAAAAATATCGATGTCCAGTACAAAAATTTAACACGGATTCATAAACCACAAGTACATGACTATATTACTTTTTAACTTTTAAATAACATTTATTCGACAAAATTGTACGATGACATTCCCACAGAGCACGAACGGATAAGTTTTAATTAACAATTTACTGTGCTTCCGATGACCTTAAACGTGTACAAGATTTCAAACAGCATTCGATTTTGCAATTTTAAAGTTGAGTTGTAAAATGCTGTCATACAAATTTGATTTTTTTTTTCCAAAATCAGGACTCTTAAGGTAAAAACTCGACACGGATTCATAAATCACAAATCCACAAATGAGGGATTGCATAAAATTAAAATAACATTTACTAGGACATGATGTCATCCCATTATTGCTGGGGAGAAAACAATTTGTATTCTAAAAATCCGGACAGACGGTGGACCGAAGACAGACAGACACACGGGAGACAGACAGACGGAAATGGGAGATTAGAAGACGCAAAATTCTGCTGCAGTTAATATTTGTTTCATGCTCTTCAGGACTTCTAGGAAAATTGTAAAATCAATAAACATTGCGCTTGGAAGCCATAAAACGAAAAGTGAGAAATCTCACGCCGGACTCGTAAAAGCCGGAATTTTTTCCGCACCGCATTCCTCGGTGTAAAACAGATCATAAACACATCTCTTTATAGCCTCGTAAAGTAATAATTAACTTAGTCCCAGAATTGTATCGAGTGCGAATTTCACCCACCTTGTCCCAGAAAGTACTTTCTATAGTATAAGGCGCCTTGATCGACGCTTTCGATGGGTCTGGGCAGACGCTGGTACGGACACGTGGAATGTCTCCAGTGCGTCTCCCCTGGAGGGAATTCGAGGACGGCAACGCCGTAAGCTAACGGCGGACGATGCAACGGCTTCTTCGCACCACCCAACCCCTGACTATTCTGCAGCCTAGTCAGACTGACTATCCTCTCTTCTTCGCCGCCGATTTCGTTCCTAAAGAACGGGCAGCTTTGCACCAGGTCGTTATTCTGCCCATCGCCGCCGTCCTCCTCGGCGCCGTTGTCCCCGTCAGAAGTGAACGACTTCGCCAACATGGTGGCGGCGGACGCCCCCGTCGTCGTGTTTCGTCGCTTCGCCAACATCCGCCGGATCCTGCAACAAGAAAAAACCGGCGTGAACCTCTGCACACCAATCGGGGTGTTCATTGGCGTGCTTAAGCCACGCCCTTTCCCTACTCCCGACTAACCGCCCCAAAAGGGCGTGGCCACCCCTACGCCTACCCACCTGGCCGTGTAATTCAGATTCGTCGTCATCGACTGACAGTCGTAATGACTGAAAGCCCTCCTCCTCGCGATCTCCTCCGCCTCCGCCGACCCCACGACACTATTACTGCTACTGGAAGACGTATTCACCATGCTATCATCCATGGCCTGTCTCTGGCTTTTCACGTTCACTTGCCCGCCCCACAATCGCGACAGCTTGACCCGCGCCTTGGGGCTCTGCGGCGCGCCGTCGTCGGCGCCGTCCCCCACGTCCACCTTGCCCCTCAGGTACTCGGCCGGCCCCGGCGACCTCTGGTCGGCGGCGATCGCTCCCAGCACGGCCGGCTGGTAGTCCTGCAGCATGGCGAAGAACGAGTCGCCGGTGGTGGCGGCGGCGTTCGGCGGCCGATCGATCACGTCGATGCTGCCGTGGCTGCCGTACTCGCGCTTCAGCGTCGGCGTCGACGGGTTGGACGGGCGGCCGTTGTGGTCGAGGAGCTCCAAGCTGGAGTTGCTGCGGTAGAGCTGCTCGGGCGCTAGGTGCTGCGGGCGGCGGGCGCTCGCCTGGTGGTGGTTGTGGTGGCGGTCGTTGAACGACGAGCGGGAGAGGCCGGCGTTCGCCCAGGCGCGGTGCACATGGGTGTTGTAGTAGTCGACGGCTTGGGCCGCCCGCTCACGGGCCCGGCTTCCCGTTACCGGCGCTCTAGGTGGCGCGGGCCCGCATTCTTGCAAGCCGATCATCCCATCACGCTGGAAAAAATCAAACAGAATGACAAGCTGTAGTAGAGCACAACCGTAAAGTAAACCCGTATGGAGGAAACCCGTATTGGTGCGACCGTAAACGCACGAACCCGTAGAAGAACGCGTAGAACGACCGCAAACCCGTATGGTGACAGACCCGTAAGAAATAATTAGTTCAAGTGTATCAACGTCGACGTATCTATGAGACGCGATATACTTAGGAATGAATATTAAAACTGTACCTTGATAACGAGTTTGTGCTATGGACGATTAATTCTGCGATTTAAATATGAGTATCAAGTGTACTCCGTTTACCGAACAGATGGAGTAGTAAAAATGCGTGATCAACTACGTCTAAATAAGCTCGAGCCTTCGATTTTTCCGGAGACTATATCAAATTTATTGCATGTCTTCAGGGTAGATACAGTATTCTTAGTGTTCCTCAGTGCTCTGTCTTTGGTCTGTTATTTTTTACTATTTATATAAACGATACTGTTGACTTTCTCAGTGAGCACTACTTACTGTATGCAGATGATCTTAAAAATGAATACTATACTAAAAGTATAAAACGATCAGCTACCTTTGTAGTTCTTGGTATGGCTAAATAAACTGTATATATTGGCATAACTGGATCTAAATCCATTGGCCAACTATCACTAGTAATAATAATAATAATGATAATATTACTTCCATTGATTGTCGTATCAAAAAATTGGTAGAAGGGTATTTCGACGGAACATTCCTCGTCTTTGAGGTAAAGCCCAATACATTCCGTTTCTTTAGAAAATTATAAAAATTTGATTTTGCGATTTTTGTTTTTTACCTCTATAAAGTAAATACCAGTGGGGTAAATAACAACTCCGAAAAATCGAAATATCCAAAAATCGAAAATTCGAAAATCGTAGAAACAGAAAAATCTTCCGGAAAATCAAAAAATCGAAAAGTAAAAACTGAAAAATCGAAAAAATGAAGAATGGAATTGAAATTTTGAGAAATCGAAAAGTAAAAACATTGGAAAGTCTTTAAAACTGAAGAACGTGAAAACCGAAAAATCAAAAATCGAAAACTGGAAGGACTGAAAATTCGAATTTCGAAAATCGAAAGCTCAAGAAATTAAAAAAAACGAAACCTAAAAAAAAATTCGAATAACGAAAAATCGAAAAGTAAAAAAATTGAAAAATTCAAAAACTGAAGAAGGAAGGAATCCAAAATATGGAAAATCAAAGAATTGAAAGAAGAAAACAAATCGAAAATTCTATCAATCAAATATTCGAAAAAACGAAAATCCGAGAAATTGGTTCGAAAAAACGAAAAGCTGAGAAATTCGAAAACCTAAAAATTTGAAAATCAAAGAATCGAAAATCGGAAAACCGAAAAATAAAAAATATCGAATTTCGAAAAATCAAAACGGAAAAATTGAAAAATCGAAATTAAAAAAATTCGAATATCGAGAAATCGGAAATGGAAAATTGAAAATTTGAAATTACAAGAATTGAAAATTTGAAATTTCGAAAATTGAAACTGAAAAATCGAAATACGGGAAAAGTCGAAAAATAGAAAAATCTAAAAACATGGAGAAATCGAAACGTCAAAAGATCGAGAAATCGAGAAATCGAAAACACGAGAAGTCGACAAACCAAAAAATCTAAAATTAATAATCGAAAAATTGAAAAATCCAGAAACGAAAAAATTACCAAAATTGAAGTACTTATTGAAAATTTGTGAAATCGGAAACTTGAAAAATCGAGAAATCAAAAAATTTGAAACCTTGAAAAATCCAAAGGTCAAAAAAAGTAAAAATGGAAAATTTCAAATGTGTACTTATTAAAAAATGAAAAACTGTAAAATCGAAAATTGTAAAAATTTTAAAAGCCGAAATATTGAAAAATCGAAAAATCAAAAAAACGGGAAATCGAAAAATCTAAAATTTAAGAAATCAAAAAATTGAAGAATCAAAAACTTGAAAAATCTTAAAAGCCAAATATCGAAAAATTAATCGCTCTATAAATTGAAAAATCGAAAAATTAAAAAAATCGAACAACCAAGAATCGAAAACCTGAGAAAAACTCCAAAACTGAAACGTCGAAAAGTCGAGATATAAATCGAATAATTGAAGAATTCAAAATCAGAAATCGGTAAGTCGAGAAACCGAAAGATCAAAAATCGAGAAACCGAAAGATCAAAAATCGAGAAATCGAAAAATGGTAAAATCAAAATATAAAAAATTCTAAAAATCTAAAAATCGATAAATCGTAAAATGGAAAATTTAGAAACGCTAAAAACTGAAATATTGAGAAATCGAAAGACTGAAAAAATATCGAAAAATTGATGAATCGATAAACAAAATAAATTGAAAATTCGAAAAATTGAAAAATCTAAGAAAAATTGAAGAATAAACAACTCAAGAATTCCAAAACTTGAACGTCGAAAAATTGAGATCAAAAAATTAAAACCTCGAGAAATTGAAAAGTTTAAAAATCGAAAAATTGAAAAATCAAAAAGCTGAAAAATCGAAAAATTGAAAACTGAAAATCAAGAAACGAGAAATCGAAAAACCGGGACTTCGAAAAAATTGGGAAATCGAAAAATGGCAAGATGAAAATATTGAAAAATCGAAAAATCTAATCGAAAAATCGAAAATTTAGAAACGCCAAAAATTGGAAATCTCGAAAAATCGAAAAATTAAAAAATCGAAAAACTGAAAAATCAAAAAAAAAAACAAAAAATCGAAAAATCTAAAATTTAAGAACTCAAAAACTAAAGAATCAAAATTGATAAATTTCAAAATCCGAATATCGAAAAATTAATCAATCGATAAATCCAAAAATTGAAAAAATTGAATAATTGAAGAATCGAAAAACGGAAAAATCGAGAAATCGAAAACTCTAAAAATCGAAAAATTGAAAAATCAAAAGCCTGAAAAACCGAAAAATTGAGAATTTAGAAACGCCAAAAGTTAAAATATTGAAAAATCTAAAAATTGAAGAAACGAAAAATTAAAGAATCGAAAAATTGCATAAACCCGAAACCCAAGTATCGAAAAATTGATCAATCGATAAACTGAAAAATTAAAAAGTCGAAAAATTGAAAAATGAAGAGAAATTGAAGAATCGAAAAACTCGAGAATTCCAAAATTTGAACGTCGAAAAACTGAGATATCGAGAAATTGAAACATCGCAAAATCGAAAAGACTACAAATCAAAAAACCGAAAAATCGAAAAATTGAAAACTGAAAAACGAAAAACGACAAACTGAGAAACCGAGACTTCGAAAAATCCCGAAATCGAGAAATTGCAAAATAAAAATATTGAAAATCGAAAATTCGAAAACCGTAAAACTGAAATATCGGAAAATGGAGAAATCGAAAAATGAAAAATCTATTAATCGAAAATTTGAAAAATCCCAAAAATGAATTTCGAAAAATTGAGAAATCAAAAAATTGAAAATCGAGAAATTGAAAAATTGGAAGATAGAGGAATTGAAAAATCGATAGACCAAAAAATTTAAAATTCGAAAAACTGAAAAATCAAAAGAACGAGAAATCGAAAAAAATTAGGAAATTAAAAAAACTGAAGAAGCTAAATTGGTAAATTTCAAAACCAAAATGTCGAAAAATAAATCGGAGAATTGAAAAATCGAAAGATTAAATAAATATCGAAAAATTGATAAACAGAATAACTGAAAAGTCCATAAATTCAAAATGAAAAATTAAAAATTCGAAAAATTGAAAACTGAAAATCAAGAAACGAGAAATCGAGAAACCAAGACTTCGAAAAAATTGGGAAATCGAGAAATGGCAAGATGAAAATATTGAAAAATCGAAAAATCTAATCGAAAAATCGAAACTTTAAAAACGCCAAAAATTGAAATCTTGAAAAATCGAATAATTGAAAAATCGTAAACTGAAATATCGGAAAATGGTGAAATCGAAAAATTGAAAAATCGAAAAACTGAAAAATCAAAAAAAAAACGAAAAATCGAAAAACCTAAAATTTAAGAAGAATCAAAATTGGCAAAATTTCAAATCTCAAAAATATCGAAAAATTAATCAATCGATAAATCGAAAAATTGAAAAAATTGAGGAATAATTGAAGAATCGAAAAGCCGGAAAATCTAGAAATTGAAAAATTGAAAAATCAAAAACCTGAAATATCGAAAAATTGAAAATCGTGAAATTGGGAAGTCGAGAACCGAAAATTCGAAAAATCTAAAAATTAAAAAGTCGATAAATCGTAAAATGGAAAATTTAGAAACGCCAGAAGTTAAAATATTGAAAAATCTAAAAATTGAAGCAACTAAAAATTAAAGAATCGAAAATTTGCGTAAACCCGAAACCCAAGTATCGAAAAATTGATCAATCGATAAAAACAGAAAATTAAAAAGTCGAAAAACTGAAAACGAAAAATCGAAAAATTGAATAGAAATTGAAGAATAGAAAAACTCAAGAATTCGAAAACTTGAACGTCGAAAAACTGAGATCGAGAAATTGAAACATCAAAAAATCGAAAAGTCTAAAAATCAAAAAACTGAAAAATCGAAAAATTGAAAACTGCAAAACGAAAAACAAGAAACTGAGAATCGAGAAATTGCAAAATAAAAATATTGAAATTCGAAAATTCGAAAACCGTAAAACTGAAATACCGGAAAATGGAGAAATCCGAAAATAAAAAATCGAGAAATCAAAAAATTGAAAATCGCGAAATTGAAAAATTGGAAAATAGAGGAATTGAAAAATCGAATAATTTAAAAATCAAAACTGAAATGTCGAAAAACTGAGAAAACGACACTTGAAAATTCAAAAAAACAAGAGATAGAAAAAAAAATAGGAAATAAAAAAAACTGAAGAAGCTAAATCGAAAAATTTCAAAACCAAAAAGTCGAAAAATTAATCAATGGATAAATCGAAGAATTGAAAAATCGAAAAAATCAAAGAATAATAATTGGAGAATCTAAAAACTAAGAAAAATCCCAAAAATTAAAACGTCGAAAAGCCGAGATATCCAAAAATT